ACAATCTGATTACGTCTACCCGACCAACTAGTTTGACCTTTGTAGTCGACGTATCTCACAGTGATTGGAAGGTGTTTTGTTAATTATATTATTTTGTTTATGAGCAATAAAGTGTGCTCGAAACGTGGTCATCAGGAAATATTAATGTATAACACTGTGTGACTTTATCAAAATACATTTTCGTCATTATGGAATTAATGAATAAATTATTTTAGGAATTTGAGTTACGCTTCACGTTTTCCAACTTAAACTTCCAGGGCAAAGTATATAAAAGAGTAGATGGTGTAGCATTGGGATCATCTATATCCCGCGTTGCAGCAGATATCTTTATGGGATAGCTCCTACTTCAAAAAGTATGCTGGAGATAGGTGGATGACACTTTCACATTGCTAATAAACAGAACATTTCTCCAGCTTCTTCACGCATGTAGTAAAGGGAATAAAATTCACATTTAAATGGACAAGGAGAATCAACTATGTTAGACTGTAAAATCAAACGAATAGAAGAAGGTAAACAGCAAATACTAGAGTTTATAAAAAGCGAACACGTTCTAATAGATATTTAAACTTTAATTCATCTCATCTGTTAACTGTCAAAGCAGGCTTGGTTAAGTATCTAATACACTGAGCAGTAGCACCAAGTAATACAACAAAAATTTCAAATTGTGAAATGAGACAGATAGGAGAAGCGTTGCTATTATACCACGATCCTATAAAATTCATTAGGAATATCAAAAAATGGTAAAAAGCACAATAAAAATATTTTCGTGAAACCAATAAGTACTACTACATGAATAAGAAAGAATATAAGGCATCTAAATTAGTTTAACCATATAAGGAGGGAATATCTGAAACCCTACGTGAGATTCTTAATAGTGCAGGAATTAGGCAGACATCTAAACCTACAAACTCACTTAAGGACAGGCTCTGTTGCCTTAAAGGACACAGTGGACCAAATTAGACGAAATAATATCATTTAAAATATACCTTGCAATCATAATGAATTAAGTCAACTACATAGCTTAAACTAGTAGATAAGGGGTAGTCAAATTGTCGGAACATAAGAATTTAGCTAAGGCTTGAATGATTGACACGGCAAAGATAAGTAATGTACAGCATGCGTCAACGCACAACTACACAATAAAGCAGGTAGGTCAAAGTTAAAATTCTAAAAGGTTATCTTGTTAGGTGAAGTGACAGGTGGATTACTTAATCTTTGTTCATGAGGCCTTAGCCGAATACCTCCAATAGAAGTGACTCACCAAACTTAGGACACCAAACTCCACACAAACTTAAGAGTAATGAAAGCTTATTTTGCTTTTCCGATTCTGGCTTTGATATCATTGTAAGTTCCGGCCCCCTGTAGTTGAAACGATGCTTCCCAGGGTGGAAGGTAGATAAAGGAAGTTGTTTCTTTCAGGTTCCTCCCATTTATGATAACTGATTGTTGTCTGTTGTTGTTCGTGCTGTTGATGTTGGCCAGGAATCTTCATCATCTCTGTGTTTCTCTATGTTCACCTGAAGTTCTATCTTTGATGCTTCTTCTGCCAACTTGTCGCTTTTCACTTGCATATCTTCCATGTTTGTAGGGAATCAGACATATATCATCGGCGAAGTCCAGGTCCTCCATGTTTTTTGTGTGAATCTATAACGTGCTTGAAATTTCATATATTCAATAATTTAAGTTTGCATTTTTGCTATCAATTAGGCAAATGTTTAACAGAATCCGGTGACGAATCCATCACACCCTCTAACCTAAAGAGAAAATCAAAGAAATTGAAAAATGCAATCAGTTGTCTATGGTATTTCCATATTAGTTTGTTTATTAGATGTATTATTTACTGGATGACAAGGTTTCGAACAAAATTCATTGTTCATAATCATTTCATCAATTGTAATCACACGACCTGGAAACTTGAGCTTTTATAGTTTTATTTGCTTTCTCCTATTTGTCGTCGTTGAGGTAGTAGAATTTCCCAGATATCTGGGACAGTTGTTGAATCATTCTTATTACACATATTCTCTCTCAATTGATTCGATAAACAAAGCTTCTGTTATCAATATCTCCCTTCACCCTGTGACATTAGATTTTAAAACTGTCATCTTATCTCATAATTCTGTTGTATGGTTGTGTGTAATTGCATATATTGAGTGGTTTAGCTGAACTATTCTCTAGATTTCTTATCTTATTCGGGTCAACTAATCTGGATTTTGCTAGGTTTTTGTGCTCGGCTAGTCTGTCTGACTGCCCCTGTTCTACTAGTTTGAGCTGACAATAGTTCCAGTAGGATATAAGATAAACTGAATAGTTTTGTTATTAAGGCTCCACAGGATCGACACTTTAACCGACAAAGCTTGTTTCTAATTGAGTTTGTGGGTTTAAATGCTAGCCACGTTTGTTCCTGCCTTGTTAAGAATTCTGTGTAAGGTGGTTTCAGAGGTTCCTTCCTTGTATGGAATTACTAGTGATCATTTAGATTTCTTGTTGTTGGTGTTGTCATTAACTTGTGCATGCTCGACATGCATATCGTCATTATTATTGTTATCACTAATATCATTACTTATTTTAGTTTTACATTTCCTTACACATTTCATAACTAATTTATCAGGCTAATTACTAAGTTTCAAGGCTTCCTTTATTTGTATCACTTCCTGTCTTACATTTTTCTTGGTACTACTTAGTAGTCTACGGTATCTTTAAATATCACGGAATCACAAATTTTCGAGTGAATAAAAAGCGGGTGAAAAAACACATTCAGTAAAATTACTCAGGAATGACTAACTCCACTTCTATCCCTCGAAAACAGAATGAATGGATAAACCTAATGCCTATGAGATTGCCTATATCAGAACTGATTGTTGAACTTTTATCGCATATTCTTCCGTCAAAAGTCGAACCAAGAATTTGAATATGTCACATGAATGATAAAGTCATGATAATTCAACAATGTACCACTTATGGAAACAGTGGACTTTGTATGCGAAGAACTCATAGGATGAAACATCGATGTTGGCATTCCTATGTCTTTTATGAAAGAGCTCCTCTTAAAATGTACAATGAATGTTAAGGTTTTATTTAATAAGGAACTATATAGACAAAGCGATGATGTGGCAATAGGGTCACTACTAGGACCCATTGCAGCCGACATTTTCCTTGCGAAACTAGAAAATGGGCCTCTGAAGGATGTTATTAGTGAACTCAAATTTTATTGCCGGTACATGGATGATACTTTTTTGATTATGAAAAATAAGAAGGAAGCAAAAAGAATCCTGGATAAATTTAATGAGGTACATCCTGCAATAAATTTTACTATTGTGAAAGAAAAAGGCTCTACTATTCCAATTTTAGAGGTCTTTATGACCAGAAAAGAGGATGCCAGAATAACAAGAATTGTTTATAGGAAACCTACATCAACAGGCCAGTACACACATTTTCTCAATTTTGTGCCCTTGAAATACAAACGCAATCTAATAAAGTGCCTGGTTCACAGAGCAAGAACGATTTGTTCGGACGAATGTTTTGATGAAGAACTGAATAATATTAAACGGTTGCTAAGTGAGAATGGTTATCCTGAAAAGTTTATTTATTAGAATATGAATTTGAAACCAAAACAGTTCCGAAAAAGGCCTTATTCTCACAAATGCAGTTCCTTGGGGAAAACACTAGCGAGATAATGACGCAATGCCTTAGAAACGCGGCAAAAAGAGAATCTCCTTCTGCCGAATTACGCTGTATCGGGAGTAAAAGACAAACTGCCTAATTTCTCCCGATCCATGTGTATCTGTGTGGAGGTCAACAACACTCAGCAACAAAAATAAGATCCGGATATTCAACTCCAATGTGAAGTCAGTGCCACTTACCGTATGGAAGAGAAACTTGGCGCGTCATAAAGAGCATCTCAAACAAACTTCAGACCTTCATTAATAGTTTTCTTCTATCATTACTCGAGATCAGATGGCCAGCCAGAAAAGATCAGCAACAGGGATCTCCGGCAATGAGCGAACCAACTCAGCAGGAACCGATTGTGAAACAAATAGGCAGTAATAAATGGAGATGGATTGGTCATACTCTGAGGAAACCCTCGAGCGACATCACTAGACAAGCCATTGCTTGAGTGGAACCCGAAAGGGAAGCGGCGAGTTGGTCGTCAGTGCAAGGTTGACTTGAAAGAGGTCTTGTGAACAGGAGATGAAAGCATATGGGCAGACTTGGAACAGAGTGGAAAAGTTGGCAGAAAGCCGAAGGCAATGGAGATACGGAGCTGAAGCCCTATGTTTCACTAGGATTTAAAGGATATCATAATAAAAATGTGTATCTACCAATTTAACTATTCTTTTGGAGCGAGTCAGTGACATAGGCCGCACAATTAGCCGTGTTTCTCGTCTGATTTCGGAACATCACCCTGCAAAGTGGTTAAGCAAATTACAAACAAAATATATTCGTAGCGCTATTCTGTCTCATCTTGTGGAGACAGAACACAAGAGTAACGTTAACCAGATGGCTTTCAGGGTCATTAACCGCACACCTACGAATCTCAATTTTGCCTGAAGATTTTGACTACTAAATATTTTCTGAGGCTGTGGGAATCCACATTAACAAGCCTAACTTATGCATCCAAAAAAAGTTGGTTGGTTCAGATATTTTCCTTACCTTGGCCATCCAGGTTTGAATAATCTTCAGTTTTTGTGGAATTTCCCTAATTTTAGTTGATATTCTATTTGCTATTATATTTTTATGCTTATTATAATTTAAGCATCTTTAATGAACTGTAATTCCATCGTGACCTTACTTTACAAATCGATATTTAAAAAAAACACTAATATTTTTGGTGATGACAATTCTAGACTGTTCTATGTATATAAAGATGCATACATAATTATGGAGCCGGAAGAGGAGGATTTTATCGAAAAGAATATTCTTCGCTCAACTATTTTGTGTTTTATAGATGTCTTCAACGATAAGAAATCTTCAATAAAAGAGGAATCCAAGAGTGACATTATTATTGTGTAATCGAGAAAAACACACATTTCAAACTCTAAAGTACTTTTAATACAGAAATTTTGTTGTTGTTTTTTCATCTATATACATGAACAATTATTTATATGTACATTTTTTTTACACAGACATATATACATTCACCCATTACACTTCAAAGAACCTTTTTAATTCTTAAATCAATCAGAGTTTAATATCTGAACATCATAATACTCAGCACAAAATAATGTTATAAAATAAACGATAATAGAAAAGAAAAAAAGAAAGCAAAGATTTCGTTCCTCTTTCAATAAAAAATAATGACAAAAGTAGGTGTTTTTGATTTTTGTCAAAAAGTGTGGATGAAAGTTTTACTGCATTTTCTGTTATTTCCTATACAACACTTTACAAGTGAATAATACTACTCATTAATAATAAAAGTCTACTTCTGCAAAACAAACTGATATTAGTAACCTTGATCGGTTTGAAAAACAAAATGGTGGGAATCGCAAAGTGCCTAAAAACAACACATATTAAAAAAAAGACAACAAAATGATCATGTTGAACAATGAAATGTCACTGAAGGAAATGTGTTAGCTGGAATAATTAAAATTGACGATGAATTTACAACACAATTGGTTGGAATGGATGATAGTGGATTTTCACTAGCGCATAATCCATCATTTGTACTAATTGGTATAAAAGAACAATTTGACGGTAATGTATAACTATTTGTGGAATGTGGACACGCATCAATCGGTTGTGATCTATATTCAATAATTGCAGGCGATAATTCAATATTCGAGGCTTTCAATAGTGAATTTGGCATTTCTGAAGTGAATGTCACCAAGGGGATTTGATTGTTTGTAGTATCACAGTTGAAGGTGATGACTTTAGTTGGAGTTGAAAAGGTGGATTGTGAAATTGCTAAACTAGACGTGGACAGTTTGAAGTTGGTTGGTGTTCCCGTCATTTGTCTCGAACTAAGGAAAGATTTTAAAAAACAATACACAGTCCGTGAATTTTAACAAAACAACATGAAGACATAATGTATCCGAAACCAGTACCAAGCGGCATATCTCGAACATTTTGATGATACATGTTATCCTTCATGTTTAAATCGAAGGCAACAGAGCATAAAAGAACAACAATATTTTTATGAATATAGGACAAGTTCACAGATGACATCTACGAAGATTACGTCAATGAGAAACGGATGAAAATTTCAAGTCAACTTAACCTTGCTGTTAAAATGTGAGTATCAAGGCAAGTTGAGAAAGACATTAACCAGTCAAATTCCTACCAACCATCACTTAATGTTCACTAGTGACTGATCCTAGTCAGGTAGGTATTTTCCTGGTTCCAATGGGACATCTTTACCTGTAGGGTACAGCAGGTCGAGTGTGAGGTGAAATAATCACCGGTGACACTTTCTAGTGGTCGCGCCAAATCATAAAGTGGGAGAAGTTGGAATTTATGGGCCATTGGGTAGGATCCGCATAGCTTACTGGTCTACCGGGAGGTCTTGGGTTGGAACCCCTGTGGCGGATGCGTACTGTCTAAGAGACTTAAAATGGGACGGAACAGCTGTCCAGTACTCCAAGGTTCTCCAGTCGTCCGTTAACTATTGTCATTATTATTTCCTTTAATTCCTAGAGGAATATAGGGCTTCAGCTGAACGTCTCCATTGCCTTCGGTTTTGTGCCAACATTTTCACCCCGCTTCAAGTCTACCCATACGCTTCCATCTCCTCTTCACATCACCTCCTCCAAGTCACCCCACCTTCGCACTGACGACCAAATCGCCGCTTCCCTTTCGGGCTCCACTCGAGCAGTGGCTTGTCTAGGTGCAGTTATGTCACTTGATGGTTTCCTCAGAGATCCCTCTTTGTTGCTGATCTTTTCTGCCGGCCATCTGATCTTCAGTACTGAGCGAAGGCTGCTGTTGATGAACCGATGTTAGTTCATGATGAAATCCTGATACCAGTTATAAACCCTTCAAAGTAACACTTGTAGATACTGAATAACTTTTCAACACATAAATCGGTCTTGGACTTTAATGAGACTAAGGCTTCAGAGAATTTTATCATGTGAGCTAGTTTTGTTTTCATGAAGTGTGTTGTGCGAATTCATTACACATTTCAGATAAATGAGATCTTCCCTAATGTTTCGTCAAGATTACGGAATGATTTCTCAGAATCCAACAGAAGATTTGAGGGATTGATACATCGTTTTGAAATTAAAACTTCAGGCGAAGGTTTCTAGTGGTTTGAAGAGCATATCTCATCTCGAAAGTGCTTGTTGAATGAATAACTTAGTGAAGCAATTAATAGCCTACTAGAGATCGTCTAGCATATTCAACGGAGTATTTTTCTGGCAAATCCACCATAAATCCACTATTCCAAGTCACCACTACAGTGTGTTTGCTTAGGTGATCACGTCGAGTCCTGCTTGTTTTGTACTCGAGAAAGAATCGGAACTGTACAGCTGCCCCTGACGTAATAGTTTTTGTGGTTTTTACTAATTTATATGTTAGTAGTATGAGATAGCACAGCAGACTTTACAAAGAATAACCGTAACAGCAGCATGTCGTTTTTTATTAGTCGTAGCAGTTTGTTCACCTTATTCATCGGTGGGTTCAACATATTCAGCATATCACCATCTAAGTCGGATTGGAAAACGGAAAAACAAAACGGAAGTCAATGTGTCCCATAAATGTTTTACTTGATTTTGTGAGAGTGAATGACGAATAATCCCGTCAGTGTTACGAAGAGAAAAACCTTTTACCCCTATATAAAATATATAAATGAAATGAAGGATTTAATACTATTTTTGATAAAAATATTTCAGACGATTGCATGACCTGGAGATGAACAGTGATGTAGGTTTTGGTGGAGTAGACATAACTTCAACTTGTCTACCTTGCAAAAATCTACCGAGTTTCTATTTCTCTGAAGAGTAATGAAAGCTGTTGTCAAAATTGACATTTGTAAATTTCTCATATAAGTAAATCGTAAGTCAAGTGGTTTTATGTCATAAATTTATTAATTGATTAAAACAAAATAAGTCGAGTCGGAAGACTGAATATTTAACTGAGTACATCTGTCAGGGATAAGAAAACCTTGAATATGTGTAGTAATCCGATGTTTTTCAAACCCCACCTAACTTGTTTCACGTCGATTTCAAAAATGCTTTCATAGGAGAACTGTCTTATTCTCTGGAGAGCAATAAGGAGGTCAATTGTTTAAAATTATAGTAGTACTATTGAATTAAATAAGGTGCAACTTGAAGTACTTTCCTTCGATTTTGTGACCGATCAAAATGAGTTAATCACTTGGATACTGATATTGAATTCGAAAACCTATTTAGTCAAACAAGGCATCCATCCATCATCCCCCTTGGAACTAGAACGCTTCAAATACAGTCTAGTGGATTGTTGTTATCAGTACAAAAACCTCAAATGCGACAGTAAACGTTTTTTGATAAAGGAGCACAGAGAAGAACTAAAAAAACTGATTAATGATGAGAGACTGGCAATCACAAAGCCGGATTAAGGATCAGGAGTAGTCCTCCTTGATAAAAGTGACTATATTAACAGGATGAATGATATATTGAAGGACACAGAGGAGTTTCAAAAGCTTCAGGAGAAGAAAGACTTCAATAACAAAATAGAGAATGAACTAACCAGACGTTTGAAGAAACTAGGGGACTAAGGGTCGAGAAATCAGACCGACGGGCCCGTATACGCCAAGATTGTATGGCCTACCTAAAGTGCATAAACCAGGGGTACCGTTAAGATCAATACTTGATATGCAAAATTTGCCCTACCATGCTCTAGTTAGATGGTTAGTAAATATTCCCGAACCTTTGCATGATATAGCAATATAGCGTCAAAGATGTATTTCAATTAGTAGACAAAATGAAAGATATTAATATTAAGAACAAAACCATGATATTTCGGGTCATAACATTATTATACACATATGTAGCTCTCAAAGAAACGGTTAACTACGTATGTGAACAATTGGACAAGCAGTCGATAAACATCGGTATCCATACTGAAATCTTGAAAGAATTGATATTAAGATGTACCATGAATGTAGACTTCAAATTTAACGGCACGCTTTACAAGCAAGTGGACAGAGTGTCTATGGGCTCCCCATTTTGTCCCATTCAGGCTGATTTCTTTCTTAGTAGGCTAGATAGTGGACCTCTGAACAACCTTATCAGCAAGCTCTCATTTTATTACCGATATATGGATGACACCTTCATCCTTTGTGATAATGGTTCTGATAAGAGTACAATAATTACTGAATTCAATGAAGTACATTCGGCTTTAAAATACACATCTGAAGAGGAATCACAAGAGAGAATTGCCTTCCTGGATGTCCTACTTACAAGAAAACCACCAGATGGTAGCATAAAAAGAAATTTGCGTAGAAAAAGTACTTGGACAGGACGATATACACATTTTGACAGCTTCGTTTCTATCAAGTACAAAAGAAATTTAGTGAATACCCTCAGCCACAGAGTTAGTGCTATATGCTCAAAAGAAGTAATTGAAGGTGAATTAAGCGTTGTATATGATTTTTTAATATGTACAGGTTCTTTAAGTTAACCATTGTGTGAAGTAATTCAAGGAACTGGAGTATTTTCTCTGGTTTACAGAACTTTTAGGTGTATGGATAGTTGACTGCATCGGAATGCACTCGAGACTGATAAGTTCATGATGTATAGACTGAATTTCATTAAGAGGTGAATATCACTCGGAGTGGTTCCTTGGAAACTTCATTTATCTTGGCTCAGGCTAACACAAGTTTCAATCTCCACAGAAATTGCAGATACAAGTTATTGAATACGCAGTTCGTGATAGTGTGGTGAGAACTGGCTGCTAGTCAAAATTGGTGGACGGTAATTTACGTCAATGTTTATGTCCATGATATTGGTCGTGAGAAAAGTGAGAACAAAGGCTTTGCATAGGCGGATACAGTTAACATATAGGTGATCTGACATTCAAGAAACAGCCACAAAGAGATGAAAGAATAACTTTATGTGAGAAACAACCAATCAGAAGACTGTGTTTATTTGCGTAAATAAACCATAATAATGTACATAAAAATCTATAAATATGTATTTAAGTGTTGGTTTGTAAGGATTTGCTTGGTTTCAGGGTTTCATCATGAGCTGACATTAGTTAGAGAACCGTTGGAAAACCTGAGATTACTGGACAGCTGTTTCGTCTTAGTTTGAGACTCTTCAGCAGTACGCGAGCTCCAGGATTCGGACAGCGGGTCGGGTGTGAGGACAAATACTCGCTGAAGACATTGGCTAGCGGTCATGCTATGTCGTGAACTGGCAGAAGTTAGAATTCTAGGACGATTGGATCGGGTCCCAGTGGCCTAATTGTATACGAGCTCGCCTTCTAACCAGAAGGTCCTGGGTTCGAGTCTCGGTGGGCGCGTACTACTGAAGAGTCCCAACCTAGGACGAAACAGCTGTCCAGTACTCCCAGGTTTTCCAGTTGTTCTCTAACTGATGTCAGCTCATGATGAAATCCTATAAATATGTGTTGATTGGCTTAATAAACGATATGTTGCCTGGCCCTTGTCTTCTGTTGTTACAATAGTTTATTGACCTATAGCGTAGCAAACTGAGCGGAACATACCGCAGCAACGGTAGATCGATATTGTGCTGTAATACCCGTTCTCTTACCAAAAATCGCTGGCTCTCGTTCACATCATTCTCGGAGGCTCAATACGTTGCCTCCAACAATGCAACAAACTGAATGAAAGTATTACTATAAATGGCTGCAATTTACTGAAGGTCATTTGATTTCAGAGCATAGTCTCTGACTGATTAATAGAAGACAATACAAGCGTTACTCAGTGATTACTGTGATTCATTTTACCAAGCTACATAATACGTCAGGGAAATTTCGCTATACATCAATCAAAACAGTCAAACGATATTTTTGATTCCTCTACCACTTTGGTGGAAAGTGATGGAATAAAAATCCAAGGATCTGGTGCTTGCAAATATATTTTGAATGTTTTAAATATTAAAAAAAAATGTAAAAACAACAAATCAACTTACAAACTGGAATCCGTGAGTAACATATGCCCATTTTTTGTTGTCTTTTCTAACGACGTAGTATAATTCCTTAGTGAAGATTTATCTTTGTCATGAAGTGTTGGCACAATTACTCTGTGGGCTGATCGGCGACGGTAGACATGAACAAGTGTCAAGATTCCGAGGCATAGAAATAACACAATGAGTATTGCGACAACAATCCAACCTAATTTACTGATAAATTTATTGTTACTGGGGTTTATCGCTGTAACTAGAAAAGTGGATAATGAAGAATAGTAACACTATTAGGTTCAGAAAAGACGAAAAAGAGCAGGAACTGATTACCCTTCAAGCTTAATGGTAAAATGACCAGTGAGACAAGTCAGTTACATGTAGGAATAAAGTTGTGATAACTATAACTTATGAAAGTAACAAGTTGGCGATAGAAGAAGCATCAAAGATAGGAACTCACTTCAGGTGAACACTGAGTAATTTATTTATTTGTTTAAATTTTTGAATACAGCTTGATTCCACACACTGTATTTTTGGTACAAGTGTGGAATTTTCAGCGTGGATATCGGTATCCCGAAATTCGCAGGCCGACCATAGATATTAGGTGTGCTTCAGCGTAGGCTCGAACCACGGACCATGCGCATGGTCGGCGAGAGTCCTAACCACTGTCCCACCGACGAATTAAACAGAGGTGATGAAGATTCCTGGCCAACACCAACAGCAACAACAACAGACAACAATCAGCCGGAATAAATGGGAGGGAACCTGAAAGAAACAACCTCCTTTACTTACCTACTTACCTGGAAAGCACCGTTTCAGCTACAGGCGGAACTGTCGAATATATCAAAGCGAGAATCAGAAAATCAAGACAAGCTTTCATTACTCTCAAGTCCGTGTGGAGGTCAACAACACTCAGCATCAAAAAAATTATCCGGATTTTCACCTCCAATGTGAAGTCAGTGCTACTTATTATGGGGATCAGAGATTTGTCGCGTCACGCAGAGCATCTCAAACAAACTACAGACCTTCATTAACAGTTATCTTTGCTCAATAATCAAGAACAGATGGCCAGAAGGAATCAGCAACAGGAACCGATTGTGAAACAAATAGACAGGAATAAATGGAAATGGATTGGCCATACTCTGAGGAAACCATCAAGTGAGTGACATAACTAGACATGCCATTGCTAAAGTGGAACCTGAAAGGGAAACGGCGAGTTGGTCGTCAGTGCGAGGGTGAATTTGGGGAGGTCATGTGAGTAGGAGATGAAAGCATGTGGGCAGACTTGCAGCCAGGTGAATACCCTAGCATAGAACCCAACGCAATGGAGACGCGCTGCTGAAGCCCTATATTCCTCTAGGAATTAAAGGAAATAATAATATCATATGAAAAAGTACCAGTTTATTGTATTATCAATGCTTTCTTCAGATGCCAGACGATTATCTGAGTGACAAATACACAGTTTTCTGCGGAAGTCTTATCACAACTTACTGCAATGTTGAAACGTACAAGGGATTGTGAGGCAGACAGGCATTGCAAACCAAAAAGCATTTGTCAGGAGTGTCACGTCCTAAGTCACGACTCTTCTACAGTACATACTGACGAAGATTCGTACGCAAGACCTCTGGTTACAACGAGAGCACTAAATAATTTTGCCACGAAGACACGATACACTGGCCCATGAATTTCATCTTCTGTGAAATAAAGGTCTGAATGATCGACGATTTCATCTTGTAACAGAAAGGTCCTGTTTTAGAGTCCCAGTGGGTGTGTACTGATAAACAGTCCTAATGTTAGGCTCAATATTAGTGTGAGCCACGTCTTTGAAAATCAATTCTTGAGGAGAATTTCGTTTTCTAAAATGACCTCCCTATTTAATGCGTCTGAAATATTTGTACGTCACTCGGTCAACAGTTGTGTCGAACGGCCACATTTGTCCATTACAAATTATCGAGTCAGTTGGAAAGTAAACTCTTATGGAGTGCATATAATAAATTCACAAAAATTATGGACTTATAACAGCAGAACTCAATACTGCTGATATTTTGGCTTGACGACCCAGGCTGGATACGATTCAGGTGAGTGTTAGTATTACTAGTCAAAATTGGATTCAAACGAGCATTGTTTTGAAGGCAAAGTGTTGTAGATAAGCAACCACCGAGTTAAGGTTTAAAACAGATAACATAGGAAGACTAGAAAAGAATATACCACAAAATAATTGAAATCATACCTTCTGGAAATGATTTCGCTTGATGACAAATAAAAGTTTGATTTTTCAAACATGTCCAGACACGATAGGCAAAGTTTTGATCCATTTGTAATGCCACATTCTGATGTGAGTTATCCATACTATCAAGAATTGTCTTATTCTGGGTATTTTTGTCTAGAATTGAAGGAAAAAAGTTATAATCAAGGTGGTTTCTGTAAAAGATTTAGAAGTTACAAAAACAGAGATAACTGGACTTATCATACGGGGTTATTCGAACCGACACAGATGAGGAATTCACGATTAGCAATACTACGGAGTAAAGTTTTAAATAGTCATATTGCAGTTCCATTATGGGTACATTTTGTTTTGATAAAGTCTCTTATATCAATGAGTCATATTGCAGGACGGAATTTCATACCACAAAGACACTTTATTATTATTATATCTTTTAATTCCTAGAGGACCATAGGGCTTCATCTGCGCGTCTCCATTGCCTTCGGCTTTCTGCCAACTTTTTCACCCTGCTCCAAACCTGCCCACCTGGTTTCGTCTCCTCTACACATGACCTACTCCATGTCACCCCAGCATTGACGACCAACTCGACGCTTCACTTTCGGGTTCCACTCGAACAATGGCTTATCTAGGTTTAGTGATGTCACTTAATGGTTTCCTCAACGTATGGCCAATTCATCTCCATTTCTTTCTGCCTTTTAGTTCCACAATCGGTTCCTGCTGTGTTGGTTCACTCACTGCCAGAGATCCCTGTTGCTGATTCCTTCTGGCCATCTGTTCTTAATTATTGAGCGAAGACAACTGTTATTGAAGGTCTGTGGTTTGTTTGAGATGCTCTGCGTGACGCAACAAATCTCTGATCCTCATAATAAGTAGCACTGACTTTCCACTGAAGTCGAAAATTCGAATCTTATTTTTGATGCTGAGTGCTGTTGACCTCCACACGGACTTGAGAGTAATGAAAGCTTGTCTTGATATTCCGATCACCGCTGCTTTGATATTCTCGTCAGTTCCACCTGTAGTAAAAACGATGCTTCACAGGTAGTTAAAAGAGGTTGTTTCTTTCAGATTCCACCCATTTATGCTGGCTGATTGTTATCTCTTGTTGTTGCTGTTGGTGTTGGCCAGGAATCTTCATCACCGCTGTTTGATCTATGTTCACCTGAAGTCTTGTTTTTGGTTTTTCTTCTGCCAGCTTGGTGCTTTTCACTTGCATATATTTTAGTTTGTAAGAAATCAGACATATATCATCGGCGAAGTTCAGATTTTCCAATTTTTTTGTGTGGGTCCGTTTTATGCCTGTTTCCTCATTGCCTGTTGCCTGTCGCATTATCCAATCTACTGCAATCAGGAAGATCATTGGCTATAGTAGAAAACCTTGCCTCATTCCCGTCCTCACTCAAGATATTTTTATATAGAATAAATTAGACAACGAAAATGATGAGACTAAAAGCTGAGATTATTGTTCGATTGTTGAGTAATATATTTCTAATTTACTAAACCAATCCTTTTGAGAAATATACCAAAGTGTCAAGCCCTTGAAGTTTCACTGATAATATCTTTTAACTTTGGTTAGTAAAAGTGAATTGAGTACATAGTGTGATAAAAAATCTTATCAGTGCTCTAAGGTACTCAGTGACAAGTGCCACATCATGAATAAATCTAATTTGAAGTCATCTACATTACTACAACTCTGCTATTCAATTATTAGGTCGTTTAGTTATAAGCTACAAGCTTACGGATGGATTTCTGGAAGCTTTAAACGGAAGGCACATACATCAACGTATATCATACGTTTAACGAGATGCTAAAATAATGCGTACCTGTCAACAAAGAACAACCCTAGTTTTGAATAAATCATCTTTGTTCTTTACAAAGCCTTTCGAAGAGTATTTAGAGACGACTAATAACATCGAGGCAAGACATAAAAGGAAAACAGAATGACCGTCACAATTAAGATTTTGTAATATGAATTGTCCTATCTGCGTTGTCTGATTTTGTATTCCCGTAGAACAACTAAACGTGACCACAAAGGTTCAGTCACATTTGAAATCTTGTCTCCTAGTACACTACTCCCTAGTGATTGCACATCCCACCGGATGATGAGCATTGAATACGACGAAATGTGCATCTCGCGTCTCATTGCTAATTGAGAGCTACCAGACAAATTGCACTACTCCATATCAGTGTATTTAACGATCGTGAGACTCATAGAAAATGAGCTAATGATGGTAATTTCTGAGATATCTTCAAGAGCTTTGTAGTACCTGCAGTGACTGAAAAGACGATAACTTTGTCAACGGTTAAGTCTAGTATCCCAACAGGTATAGCGTCAGATGAATGATTTTGAGGCCACTGAACCAAATGGAGTTAATTGTTCATATAAATACCCACACTTCAGTTTGACTTATCAAAAAATGCTAAACTTTACAAAGTAGATTACAGGAAGGCATAATTACCAAACTATTATATAATTTTACGAGTACTAGAATTGGTAAATAGCATACGTTTGCTTCTAATGTCAGGGTATTTAGACGTTTACGTTCATCCCACAAGATACATTCTGCGAAATGACACTTTATTTATGTTATCGGATTAAGTACTATTAAATAGTTGTAACGACTAAAGCAAAGGGTCGGGCAACAGATTAATTATTGAGAAACTCAAGAGATATCTGTAGATTTCTATGTATAATATTGTCAGTGGAGAAGCAACGCCTTTTGATTGGTTGTTTTCACGCTGAAGGTTATTCTGTACTGCGTGTGGCCATTTCTCAGAAAGTTAAGCCATATATCTGTAAATTGTTTGCACTGGTTCCATCTTCTGTGATTGGTTGTTGAGTTCTTCATGGTTAAGATTTGCAATTGTTTTCTCATGATTTCAGAAATACCAATGACGTAAATTCCTGTCTACAAATCTGTCTTGCAGCCAGCTCTCGCAACATAGCGATTAATCAGCACCGACAGAAATTTCTGACTGTCCCGAATAGATAAACGTATATATCTATCTGTCTGTTTTTGACATAAAACTTTGCACACATGTACGGCAGTTCAAGTCTCCACACTCACTTTATGTAGCACACAAAGCAAGAGAAGAAAGTAGAAGAAATGCATATTAGAGACAGTAAACAGAGGTGTGAGACAGAAGGAATAGTGATAACGAAGAATAAATCAGTTTCATTGAAAATCATAAGTCACAAGGAGTGAATGCATCTGCGCCAGCCATTGAGAACGATAACTTTGAGCCATATCACCAATTGTTTCCAGCCTTCATTGGCTTTTACTGTCTTGAGGACCCCAACCAGTCAGAAAGTCTACACCTCCCTAAGTAACTGGCTTAGACTAACTGTTGTAGGTTTGATTGACTGGTGCCATGTTTTGGTTTGACCGCCGCTAGCTTTATTCCAGCCTGACCCTGTATCAGCTAACGTCACCTATCGGTCGAGGAAGTCAATGACTAGACATACGTAACACATGTCCTAACCATTTCAGTCGATGTAACTTCACAGCCTCGTCGACTGAGCAAAACTTAAAACATCCACAAAATTCTTCTGGAATAACAACCCAGGTGTAAAGTATTTCTGATGAATTTCTCTCCTATTGAAATGGGGATTATTTATCGTAATAAGAACAGACAAATTTCATACAATAAGGACCAATCAAATTAGGAAACTCTAGCCTTCATTTATTTAACCGATGAACATAATTATATCAGGTTTATTCAAATGTCTACCAAACATGATAAAATGCATTAGAGAGTAAACTTACCGGTTGTAAAGTTATGCAAAATCAATGCTTCTCTACGAGGAGACTTGAACTTCTTTGAGATGTCCGAAGAGTTTGGATCATCTGAATTCGCCTGTGAATTTTCATGCTTTAAATTATTTGCATGGTTCTTGTTGATGTTGTAGTTGTTGCTGTGAACAGATAACGACTTTTGTGTTCGATATACATTGTGTGTTTGTAGCTCTCTTACTAGTCGTCCTTTACCACCGGATAACACCGGAATATTTTCAACAGACACCCTAAAATCACTTAGGATATTTCTATTTATTTTCGATAGCGATACAGTCCTGTCGTTTATCTGACATGTATCTATTAAAGTGGACCAGTTGATTCGATTGAGGAGAGAATATTCAGTTTTCATACAAAATGACTGTGAATCCTTCGGACTAGAAAATTGTAAATTGATTAGATCGGTTTGATGATTGCGTGTTATCAGTTTTGGAAAGTTTATAGCTAAAAAAATGAAAAATAAGGAATAAGAAGGACTGCAGAAATTCCCTATAGATATTCAAAAGGTGAAGAATTTGAGTGCACAGTTATACCGTTATTCAGAATATTTCCTTCCTTGGTTTCTATGTTGACATTCGACTTATTATTATTAATGTTCCCTTGAGTTGCTAGTGGAACATAGGGCTTCAACTGCACGTCTTCACTTGCTTCTGTCTTTTGCTGTACTTTTCACCTACATTCATATTAGTCCATACTGTTTCAGCTCCTCTTCACACGATCTCCTCCATGTCAACCTTACACCGACGTCCTACTCACCGCTTCCTTTTTTGTTTCCATTAGAGCGATGGCCTGACGCGCGATGTCACCCAGCGGCCTCCTCAGCGAGTGTCCAATCCATCTACACTTTCTCCTGCATATAACTTGGGCTATTGATTCCTTCTTGTTTTGTTTCTTCCCATAGTTTCTTGTTGGAGATTCTTTCCAGATCGGCCATCTGATCTTCAATATAGATTCAGCGAAGACAGTTGTTGATAAAGGTGTGCAACAAGCTGTTGGAAATATTCTTTGTGACCAACCCGCCAAGTTTCTGATCCGTATAGAACAACTGACTGACTTGACGTTTGTATTGGAAATCCGACCGAAGTTTGTTGTTGATGCTGAGTGACGAAGATTTCCAGATTGGCTTAGGGTTGATGAATGTGTTTCTCGCCTTCCCGATTCTCGATTTGACATCCTGGTCAGTTCCAGCCGCCTGTAGTTGAGACAGTGCTCAATGCTAGATAAGTGAATGAAGTAACCTCTTTCAAATCCCTCCCGTTGATGGTGATTGGCGATGGATGTTGCTGTTGTTTTTACTGTTGGTTAGTGATTTTCATAACCTCCGTCTTGTTTATGCTTACCTAGATTCCTGTCTTCGCCGGGTGCTTCTTCGACCAGTTTGTCGTTTTTCGCTTATAAGTCTTCGATTTTGTGTGACATCAAACATAAATCATCCACGCGCGAAATCCAGGTCTTCTAGGTTCTTCACGTCGGTCCAGGATATCCCAGTCTTCTCGTTTCCCACTCATTGTCTGATGCATAATCCAGTCCACCACAATTAGGAATATCATTGGTGATAATAAGCACCCTTGTCTGACTCCTGTGTTTACTCCAAACGCCGTAGTACTCAAGTAGTTTCCAAATCACTTCGGGGTCAACGCTGTCGAAGGCCTTCTCGAAGTCTGTAAAGTTGAGGTAGAGGTTTGATTGCCATTCCATGCCTTGTTCTGTGATAATGAGTAGAGTTGCCATTTAGTTTGAACATGATTTGCCTTACCTGATTCCAGCTTGTTCTGTTCGGAATTCTGTATCCAGTGTGTCCTTTATTCTCTCCAGGATGATACGACTCAGAATTTTAATTGGCGTCGACAGGAGCATGACTCCTCTCCGGTTCTTGCAGTATCCTAAGTCGCCTTTTCTTCGTAGTCCCGCAAAGTAACCTTTCCTCCAGTCATTGGGCACCTTTCCCTCCTTCCAGACCTTTTGCAATCATGGAGTCAGCACACTGCATTGCCATTCGACTAATTCAGCAGAATGTATCCTTGTGAAAATGAACCAGCTTCGTTCCGAAAGGGAGTAAGCAGGTATACAAAGAATGTTATTTTAACTAATATGTTATACAGTGAGAGTCACACCAAAATATAGGCAAAAAACCCTTTGATGGTTTCTTAGCTATGGCTGAAGCCACTGGCATGAATATGCGTGCCTTTAGCTTCTGTTTCTAACCTAACCAATCTTATATCAATAATTGATGTAATTACCTCAGATGTTTGTCTCACTGTGCTTTCCATCGCTTCTACAGTCTCCTATCTGCTCTTCTTAATTCTTTCCACAAATATAGCTGCTTGAATTATGCACCTGTCCTTTGTCATCCTATAAATTTACGCCTTTTGTTTATTGTACTCGAATTATATATAATTCCACACCTCGGAGCAATATTTATGAGTTTCATAAACACATCACTTGATCGTCTTATCTATTACCTCTTTTGAGTGAATGTCTGTTATACAAACACTCAAGTCATCATCAAAACTGTTTGGATGACATTTTGTCTTTTAGTGGGAAATTCATGCTCCTCTATGTCGTCTACATTATCCCTATCCTTATGGATTTGACAACTGTAGTCTATAGGGAAGGAGAGTTTTGCTAAAGAAAAATTCTTCACTCAATTGTTTATTGTTTTGAAAAGTTGCTTGACTGGAAGATAGGAAAGTGAAGTTCCACGCTGAATAGATTCAGTGTGTGTAAATGATGAAAATATTTTGACAAATCTACTTTAGATATGAGCACAACAATTACGACTTATCATGATTTGAGTCAAACATAACTTTAATCCTAACTGGTTACCGATATGAGCTAAGAAATCAATGAAATCTGCCTAAATGCACTAATTTTAAAACCTTTCTGATTCTCTCTGATGAAACGTCAGCTTCCCTTTAATAAAGTCTTAGAAAACCTCAAAAATGAATTCCTGTTCAGACAAAAGATGGAAATATGAAATATATTCAGCTTATTATCAAAAGTAGGGTGCTATTGGTGTTTGCTATTGGTGTTCCTCAGATAGATTATTTATTCTTCATAAGGCATCTAGTCTATCAACCTTTATCTGACATCCTTCTTCACACATCGATTTTATGAAGTCTCCTCTAGCTTCACTCGAGGCTGTACAGGGAAAAAGGAGATTTTCCTCATACAATAGGATGACTTTAACCAGCTGTTTGCAGCAGCTCAATTACCTATCAAAAACAGTGTCACTCAATTGAGTCACAGGTTCACTACTGACACAGTATACAGCCTTCATTGTTTCACGCAGTATTATATAAGAGGGAACAGTAAAGAAAAAATTGGATTGTTATGCTAGAAATTCATGTCTTTCTTGCATAATTATTCAGCTCAAGGATTTTCCTAGAAAATGAACAATATGTGAGGTGACAAACAAAGATTTAAATTGCCTTCCTGGATGTCCTACTTACAAGAAAACCACTAGATGGTAGCATAGAAAGAAATTTGCGTAGAAAAAATACTTGAACAGGACGATATACACATTTTGACAGCTTCGTTCCTGTCAAGTACAAAAGAAATTTAGTGAAAACCCTCAGCCACAGAGTTAGAGCCATAAGCTTATAAGAAGTAATTGGAGATAAATTAAGCATTGTATATGATACTTTGATTAAAGGTGGCTGTCCTGACAAATTTATCAAGAAACACGTGGCGAAGAAATCGGCGGAACAGGACTACTCACTATCTATAAACAAGAAGCAACTTTATATATGACTGCAATTCAAAGGCGATATACTAAGTGAGATGAATACGAGGAAATTAAGAAAATCAGTTCAAAGTACTTTTAATGTGGCGAACAACATGTCTTATTCCCTACTTGACCGATGGTGCTACCTCGACTGAGAGATGAAGTATCCAGACTAGCTGGCCACTTCAAATTGTATCTACCAATACAACTGCGCTTGTGATAGGGCAAGTCATAGTGGCCATTGCTCTAAGAACTAGATTTTTCGTGCTCGAGAACCTCTCCCAGAATGGCTAAGTAAAGGTGTAGTGAAAACCATCAGCAACAGTTCGATATTGTACCATCTGGTACAAACCGGCCAGCCACCAAAATTATCGAAGCACCGCATGCTCCAAACAACGGAGGCTATTGCAGTTCGCCTCAAACAACCAGTGCTCTGTGTCGGAAAGAACCAAGTCCGGCAAGCCCCTACTACTGCCCTGGCCAGCTTTCACTGGAGACTATAAATTCATGAATTTGTAATATTATCTTTCTTGATTTTTCTGACATTCAGCTTATTTTATGTTGATGCTATTTGGCCGTAATTTATCAATATTATCGATTGGATGTTGTTTCAACAGCAGCATTAATGTTGTTCATAACACTAATTCATTCATTCAGTCACTATAATGCATGCATAACTATAGAGCCTGATGATGAAGTTATCGAAAAGAGTTGTCTTTGTTCAGTATCCATTATTTTGAAAAGATTGAAAGGTAAACGGATGCTAGAATAGTAATATATGATGTCACTGTCATTACAATTATCATGAAATTATATCGGCCGAAACAAGTCTTTTTCACATCTGCAGCCGACATTAATAGTCTCATATATAATAATAATAATAATAGCTTCATTCTACATATTATTTACACAATATACACAATTTAAAGTGTCATTTATTGAGTAGTTTTTTCCCTTCATCCTGATGTTTCAAGTAAAATAGCCATCTCAAGTGAACTGTGGGATGTAATGCTATTCTATCTGAAGAATCCTTTATGGTATTTTTCTCTGACCTGCCATAAATGAGCGATGATAGATTGCAAACCAATTAAAAATGTGCATGATTACAATTGGCAGCCAACAAACATAACTGAATGGTTATTGCGTCAGTATTCAAATACTGGATTGTAGGGATTCGATTGATTTGTTACAGATTGTCATCATGAGCTGATATCGGTTAGCAAACTATTGAAAAATCAGCAGTGCATACTGGACAGCTATTTCATCCCATTTCTATGGGACTCTTCATCAGTGCACATCCGCTTCCAGGGTTCGAAACCAGGACCCTTTGGTTTCAAAGTGATATCGTATACAATTGAGCTCGACTTCTGTCAATTCACAACATAGCGGGACCGCTAGATAATGTCTTCGGCGAATATTTGTCCTCACGCCCTACCTACCGTATCCTACTGGTCATGACTTCCCACTAGAACCTCAAGTAACTATCTACCTGAATATGACTAGTTACTAGTGAGCATTTCATTGATATCCAGGTACTGTTGAATAGTCCTTTACTAGGATGACACAAGTGTGCAGTACTCGCTGATGCTTTCCAATGGTTCTCCAACCGATATAAGGTCACGACGAAATCATATTGCAACAATAATTAGGGAAAATAAGATGCACCGTGTCTAATGGAAGTTAACCTATTTCAGTGATTCAAACAGAGATTGAGTTTAAGATCATTTGATGAAGATCGTCGGTTAATATCAGATATGAAACTAGCCATGTTAGAATAATCCACTGCGGCAACTTCTAGAACAGAAATTGTTAGATTACTAGATGTGAAGTTGGTTTTAAGATGCATTCTAAAATACAGTGTGTTGCTCCAACAATTCGGCTTCTCACTGGTCCATACTGTCTACTTGATTCATTAATTTCCATTTCGCATATTTTGGATTTTGCAGGAACATGTCATCCTCATCCGAAGGCTACTCTACAACCGGTACACTGCTTCTACTCTAGCAGTGAACACTTCATTGGGTTATATTAATAATTTGTAGCAGAGGATTTGAACTGTACCACTAAGTAACTTTTAGTTTCTTTAACCTGTTAACTGTATTTCTATAATATACCGTTACAATATTATTTCATAAATACACGTACCATTAACGACCTCGCTACTAAGTCCCCTACAGACCAGTCGGAACAAAGTTCAGGAAACACTCATCACATTTTAGAAAAAAAGGATATATTAGAAACTTTCGAGTAACAGTTTTTTGGGAGGTAACCTTTCATGCATACTCTTCATGTTCTGTATTCTGATAATCGCCTTCGCGAGGTCTAACTTGACCTGAATGATAAAACAGGCAGTCAAGTTTTGTGAACTATATCAAAGGAAATATTTTCCCTGTGCACCAAGCATAGAAACAGAAAAACGTATTTTCAAACTTGAAAGTACTGCTCAAACATTTGGCTTTACTTTAAGACACTGCAGTCATGGAGACTGTAGAATTCATAGGACTTTAAACCAAGAAATATCAGACTACTATCCAGTTACTTTTTATAATTACTGTGAACCGTTGTCTGTCACACAGTGAAACAAAATTCAGTGGACCCAGTAGATCACAAGTTCCCACAGGTATGCCACTAAATCCCTAAAAGTGACTGATTACTATAAGAACTAACTCATTTTATCAGTTGACCGGTGGTATCAATGTAGGTTGATTACATGTTTCCGTGTGTACATGTTTTTAAATATTGTCACTTGGAGTTTACATGAGTGTTTGGAGTTTCTTTATTTTTAAAATTATTTTGTCTGAGATCTTTTGGTTAATTACAATTTCACCGTCAAAATGAAGAAGAATCCAGAAAAGTTCATCAAGAAACGCATGACCAAGAAAGCAGTCGAGAACTATTCTCTATCTGTAAATAAGAAGCCATTATATAGACGACTGCAGTTCAGAGGTGACTTATCTAGTGAAATAATTCAGAGCAAGTCAGGAAAATCTATTCAAAGAAGTCATTATGCTGGTAAACTGCAAGACATATTTTATGCACGACCGAGGTTAATTTCTCTATTGAAAGATGAAGTAGGTAGACTAGCTACCTCTTCTTGAACCTACCGATTTAACTGCGCTTGTGGGGCGAGGTAAATTGGCCGTTTTTATGAGAACTTAATTTTTCATGCTCGCTCAGGAACACCTAGAAATGTGGCCTGATCAATGTGTGGTAAAAAAACATGAACAGTTTGATATCATAATTTAAATGGTGTATGGTGACTAGCAGTGGAATCCAGGATGTGCATTTAGTCCTATTTGGGACTACTCGTCAGCTGGATGTACCTGCATTTCCCAGTGAGTGATGATGTTCCCACCGAGGCTCGAACCCCGTGCCAATAGTTTCAAACGCCAAAGCGTTATCCACCAGACCACTTGGGCCATGAGAGCCACCTTTTGTGCAACGGGTTATATTAATTATTTAATTGAATTTTAGATTTTCCCGTTGAGTGAATGGACCGAAGTGCTGGGTCTCAGGTTGACATGTCGGCTTTGAGCCTCGTTGGGAACATCATCACTCACTGGGGAATGCAGGCACATCTGTATGACGAGTCCCAGACAGGACGAAATGCGCATCCTGGATTCCACTGCTAGTCACCATACACCAATTAAATTCTAATTATATACCGAGACATCGTCGAAGCATCTGCACAAGAAGTCAATTTGTCAACCTGAACCTGAGCACTAAAATCTAAAATTCAGGTAAATTGTCCGTTATTAGACCACCTAGGGCAGAACGGCCATGAACGCACATGAATTCCAACACCAATAAACCCATTTTTTCCCTATGCCCATCCTTCACGTGATCCCTCATCCATCTGAAGTTTAAAATCAATATGAATGCAACTAAATATGTGCACGACGCATGAGAATTTATTACCATAAATTTGTTGTCATTCATAATTATTTATTTTGTGATATTAGGTATTATAACAAACCCATCTTTTTGTATTTCACAATGAATGAAAAAGGAAATGATATCGTTGTTTTACTGACGTTTCGTTATTTAATGCTACTGTTTGGCACTTTATCAAAGTAGTGTTATTAAACCAGAATTTACAACATCTCAGTTTATATATAACAACTTTATCATCGTTCCTCATCATGAGGTCATTTTTGCGTTGACAAGTTGGCCAATTGATGAAGATAACAAAACCAGGTGTAGATTGTTGGATTTGATAAGTGTATAAAATTTAAAAAGCAGCCTGTGTTTACATAATGAAATGAAGTCGTGACCAGTATGGTGCAGCGGTCGCGCTATGTTGTGAATTGGCAGAAGTTAGAATTCAAGGACCATTGGATCGGGTCAAAGTGACTTAAAGGTATACGAGCTCGCCTCGTAACCGGAAGGTCCTGGGTTCGAATCCCGGTGGGTGCATACTGATGAAGAGTCCCAAACATGGACAAAACAGCTGTCGAGTACTCTCAGGTTTTCCAATTGTTCTCTAACTAATGTCAGGTCATGATGAAATCCTGAAATAATGAAATTGCTTATCGAATTCGTGTTGATTGTGTCATTTTATGGGGGAGGTGGGCGTCGTAACCAGATCAAATTCTATTTTAGTTCATCATTCCTATCTATACAATTTGGATTCCATCTGATATGAAGTGCTTGTGTTATAAAACGTTTTTGTGATTTCTAAAATTTTTCTGGGTTATCATATAATTGTAATATTAGTGTTCAATTTAGTATTACAGTTTTACATATTACCATACATATACATATATTTTGTACTATAATCTATTAACAATCTAATTGCAAATAACTATTGGAATTCTAATCTAAATGCTCCGATGTTACTCTTTGAAAACCACTAATTTTATCAATAACAGCCACCCTTTTATTATTATGGATGTGCAAATAACTGTAGAACCTGATGAAGAAGGAGTCACCGGAAAGAATATTTAAGCACGGTACATCAGGTCGAAGGTGAGGACAGTGGTCACGCTTTGTCGTGAATTGGCAGAAGTTAGAATTCATGGTCTGGGCATTGAATCGGGTTCCAGTGGCTTAATGGCCTACGAGCTCACCTTGTAACCGGAAGGTCCTGGGTTCGAACCTCGATGGGTCGTTACGGTGAATAGTCTCAAACTGCGACAACACAGATGTCCAGTGCTCACCTCTGGTTTCCCAATGGTCCTCCAATCGATGCCAGTTCATTATGAAATCCTCCAACAAATCAAAACTAAAAACCCTTCAAATCAAGTCTTGTGAATATTTTGTTACAGGATTTCATCATGAGCTGACATTGGTTCAAGAACCATTGGAAAACCTGGCAGAACTGAACAGCTGTTTCGTCCTAGTTTAGGACTTTTCAGTAGTACGCAGCCACCGGGATTCGAACCCAGGACATTCTGATTACAAGGCGAGCTCGTACACCATTTAGCCACTGGGACCCAATCCAACCGCCCAGAAATTCTAACTTCTGCCATTTCAAGACATACCGCGACCCCTAGCCAACGTCTTCGGCGAGTGTTTCTCCTCGCACCCGACCTGCTGCACCCTACTGGTCACGTCTTCTAACCAGAACCGTAGGTAGCTACCTATATGAATAGGGCCTTTGGATCGGGTCCCAGTGACTTAGTGGTCTCCGAGCTCGCCTTGTAACCAGAAGGCCCTGGGTTCAAATCCCATAGTGTGGGTGCGTTCTGATGAAGAGTCCCAAAATAGGACGAAGCAGCTGTCTGGCAAAACTTCCAGGTTTTCCAATGGTTCCCTCCTGTAAGCAATCAATCAAAGCCCTACAAACCAACACTTCAATAACTTGTAAATATTCTTTGTTCAGTAATCAATCTTTAGGAAAACAACTCCCACAAACTTTTTAAATTTAGCTGACCCTATTACACACCTCAGTAATAAAATGCCAATAATCACTGGATTTTGAAAGTTCAGTCGTCTAAACCTATCTCGGCTGGGTGTATGTGTCCATTTGTTCTAAAATTGATAAATCAAATTTATAACATATAGTTTTTAAAAAGAATTAGGTTAGATTTATACGAACTGTGGTTGAGAGTTGACCGAATACTTCCACAGACATTTGACGCAGGGTGAAGAGAATACATTTGTAATACTTATATATATATATATATAAGGTTAGATTTTGAACTTAAAAAAACATGTCATAACATACACTAATTGAAAAATAAGCTTTCAATTGACATTTAACAGGCAAATAAACGTCTTACCTTTTGTAATAATTGTGAATTCTTTCGACTTCATTCCTTGACCTAAAATATTTTCTGCGTATATTACAAATTTATATTTCGTATTTGAAGTTAAACCTGAGAAAAGAAAAAAATATATGGAATGAAAATCCCAGTACGCCGATACAATTGTATTCATTTATTTACTGTTTTCTAAATGAAATATATTGGAAAATTCAAATATTTTCCGGGAAAATATGATGTCAGTACACAAGGACCAGCCACCATGATTGATGTGACTTTTGACTTTGAGAAATGAATTTAAGTGAATAATCAAGATCCGTTAATTTTTTCTGATTCTCTTCTTGATTCCAAAGTAAATTCGAGATCTACTTAGAGGACTAGGTATCCTGTCACGTTCACTCTGCATATGTATATTTCAGCAATATGTGTTATTAAGTTATGCCACATGCAACTCTAGTTAGTTTTTGAAAGGCGTCTGTGTATGTTGGGGTTATGGTTTAACTTGGCTGAATGCACTTCAGCTTGTCTTAAAGCAATCTCTTCGCTTCACTGACTTTAGAATCTTTAAACTCCTGGAAATGTTCACATATAATCACACCACTTCAAAGCGTGATGCTATGATTAATCTTCATTTTGTATGATATAAGACGCAAGCCTCTGCGAAGGTTTCCTTTTATTTTCGTTTTGAAGTAAACACTGGCAGGTAATTTGGAATCTACTTCGACAATAACGGTGTGCAGTGCCCAAGTCATTATCATCCCCATTCAACAGCTGACTATATGAAAATGCCATGTTTCAGGTGATACACAACAGAAAACTCAGCGAGACGTTCAGAGTGAACATAGGATGAAAACCTCGTAGGCTATTTAATATCACTGATGATATTCCTAATCGTGACAGGCTGAATTATGCGTCAGACTGTGGAGAGTAAGCGGACGGGAATACACTGGGCCACTAATAAGAAGACTCCCGGAAGATCTGAGTTTCGCACCTGGATGATATACGTCTGATGTCATACAAATCTGCAGACCTACAGACAGCGAAAACCAACAAACTGACAAGGGAGGCAAGCAGCTAAGAAACGACTCCATGGGAAAGTAGAGAGGACAGAGGTGACGTAGATAACCAACCAACAGCAACAAAAGGAATCAGCACCACTCACAATCAACGCAAGAGATTTGACAGAGGTTATTCACTTCACTCATCTAGAAAACATTGTTTCAACTATAGGCAAGCGGAACGGATGAATATGTCGCAGTCAGCCAGCCAGAATTGGAAAGGTAAGATACGTCTTTGTCAACCTGAATCCAGTTTGAAAATCTTCTACACTCCCGAGCAAAAAGTACAAGATTCTGATTTGCAACATACATGTTAGGCGGGTTCTTTCATACGGGTCAGAAACTTTCACTGAATATCACGGAAAGAATCTCCAACAAGTTACAGACCCTTGTCGACAGCTAATTTTTGTGGCCACAAATACCAGCCAGAAAGAATTGGCAACAAGAATCTCTGGTTGGGAACAAACCAATCAAAACCAAACTGCTCAAAAACTATGTTGTGTCAGAAAATGGACATGGATTGGGCGTACGACAAGGAAGCTGTCCAAAGAGATTATACCAGGCCGTCGAGTGGAACTCTTATGGGAAGCGAGGAGGGGTTAGTCCTGATGCGACGTGGAAGGTGTCACGTGAGGAAGATATGGGAGAGTTTGACCAATCGTGCACTCGGCTGAAGAGAATGGCAGAAAATAGAAGACAGTGAAGCTCTATTTTTTACTCGGAGCCCGAAGGAACTGGCAGGTCAGAAGTCAATTAATGTTTTCAGTGCATTCTTTCTGCTATCCCAGGATGAAATTCATAAATTAAATTAATAATAAACCGAGAGAGAGAAGTGGATACCATATGCAGGATGGAAGTTTGAGTTAAATTGACGTTTGGAAAGGTGAGAACGTTTATAAAAGACATTAAGCACATAGTCCTCATAAAAACTTTGTCAGTCTGATCTCCACCTCATATAACTGTCGACATCAATCAGGATTAAAATCATGTGAATCTCGACCACACCGACAATTTCTGTGATTAAAAGGGAAAGGAAGGCAAGTCTTCAGGCATTCCAGACTGTTACAGAAGATTTGTAGCTGAGGTGGATAATTTTGATGTGGTTTTGTTCTCTGAGCTGGATAGTTGATTTGCGAAGCTTTCATCACCCTACTAGGCGACATCTCTCTTCAGCGCATACTTCAATCTTTTGAAGTGAGCTTTTACATTTCTACATGAGTTTATTAATCATCTCTCCTGGTCGGTGACCACCTTGGACATGATTGGTTGTTTTCGTGTGTTTTCACATCCTCTAGGCAGCTACTTGTATCGGAACTGGTTGTTTCTTTGACTTGAACTTTGACCCTTTTTGTGTGAAGTTTCTTTCTTACCGGTTGATAAGTTTTGTCTATCTCCATGTGTCTATTGATTGATGAATCACTAGAATGCTAGCCAAGCTTCTAAAAATTCCCTGGCATTCTTGTTATTTCCTCTGTCTAATATTTGAACGCCGGTAGTCCCAGTGGAATTGATGTCCGTGGTTGTCTGTGTGTAATGGTATGAGGGATTGGAAATCATGTCTTTTGACGGCTAGCATATGTTCGTGGATACGAAGACGAAGAGGACGTCCACTTTGGCCAATTTCGTGTTTTTCGCAGTTGTCACAATTTATTTTATAGATGATGTTGGTTTTGTCTTCTTTCGCTGTTGTGCCTTTTGGTTGACATAGAATTGAGTGAAGTGACTTTGTTGGTTTGTGCATGACGTCAATTCCCAAAGGTTTGAAGAGTCTTGTAGTGATTTCTGTGATATCTTTTACATATGGTTAGGCGATTTACTGTCTGCTTTCCTTGAGGGTTTTGGTTTGAAGTGGACGTTCCCTTCGTCGTCAAAAGACATGATATCCACTCCTTCATATCACAACATTCAGAAAATTACGGACATCAATTAGACTGGGACAACCAGCGTTCAAATATTAGACAGAGGAAACAACAAGAATGCTAGAGAATTTTTAGGATCTTGTAATTCCAGTGAATCATCAATCAATAGACACACCGAGATAGACAAAATTTATCAACAGATAAGAAAGAAATCGCGCGCTTTTCGACTACTGCGCTACATTTCCCTAATTTCATAAAGACTCTCGTTTCTGTGAAATTTCATGCCAAGAGTTTGTGAAAACTATTACAATTATCTACCTTTCGAACACTAAATCTGAGGATATAATCTTTTTGACAGATAATACCGATAACTAACTGTTTGGATTTGTGAAATTTTTAAAAACCCAAACACATATCTATTATTGTATATATTGTGGATTTACATGTTCAAGTTGTTCCAAGGCAGTGAGTCTATGGTTGAGATATCATTCTAGTTAACTGTGCTGAATTATATTGCATGTTGTTGTATTGTATAGTTGTTGTCGCTTTTTGCCCTTTCAACTGTGAACTGTTTTCCTTTTGCTGGTGTTGTTCTGATTGTATTGTCCGTTATTTTCAGATTTTGAGAGGAGCAACCCAAAAGGTTGCTTCTCTCTAAACTTTATCTTGACGTAACGGCTAGCAAACCCACCCTGTAAACAAAATTGCTACAGAAACTTCAGCACAATGAACCTCTTTGCACCAAAAGAAAAAGTCTGTGCGGGGACATGGAACGTCCGCACCATGTACGAGACAGGGAAAGCTGCCCAGATCGCAAATGAGATGAAAAGAAACTGAATCCAAGTGCTGGGAATATGTGAAAGCAGATGGAATGATAATGGATCATCAAATTGTCAACGGGTGAGTCAGTGATCTACTCCGGTCACCCAGAAGATAACCACACGCGAACCGAGGGCGTGGCTATCATGATGTCACCAACGGCAACAAAGGCCCTGATGCAATGGGAGGCGATCTCGTCCAGGATAATGACCTCCAGATTTAACTCCAAAGGAAGGAAAGTGTCAATTATACAATGTTATGCACCGACAAACAATGCAAACCTCGAAAAGAAAGAAGAATTCTACAGACAACTACAGGCCACTATGGAATATACTCCAGCTGGCGACATTAAAATACTAATAAGAGACATGAATGCCAAACTGCGACCAGACAATACAAAAAAGGAACTCATCATGGGTAGAGAAGCCCTCGGAGAAATGAATGCAAGTGGCCAACCTCTGCGCATTCAACGAACTAGAGGTTGGTGGCAGCGTATACAAACACAACGATATCCACAAGGCTACATGGGTGTCACCAGACAGGCAAACCAAAAATCAAATTGGCTTCACCTCAATGCTCCCCAAGGAAGTGGAGGCGCAGCCGACTGAACGCAAAAGTAAGAAGAGGAGCAGACGTTGACTCAGACCACTATCTCGTACAAGGGACAATCTAACTCCAATTAAAAGCTTTCAGGGAAACAGGAGCTGCAGATAGACCACAAGCCAAGTTCAACACTCAAAATCTGAAGGACCGAAATACAAAGGACATCTTCATTGCAAGCATGAAAGACAAAGCCGAGACATAAATCAACACCAGCGAAAAGGTCAGCATCGAAAAGCTCTGGGACAACGGTGTGGAGTCAAACCTGCATGGAAGTTCTAGGGAGAAAGAGGAGAGAGGACAAACAGTTGCTCAATACTGACATTTGGAAACTAATAGAAGAAAGAAACAAAAGAATATCCAGTGCACCGACGAGCAACAAAAACAGGAGTTGAATGCAAGCTACAATACGCTGAAGAAAAGAGTAAAGAAGAGTGCCAGAGAAGACAAATGAAAATATTATAAAGCCATGGAACGTGAAGCGAAACAAGGTGCAGGCAAAGGAGACCTCGCCACACTCCATCAAACATCTAGGCACCTATCGGGGAAAAGTTCGACACAGATTAAAGGATGACAGTGTAAAGTCAACCACCAATGAGATGGAGTAAAACAACACTGGGCTGAACACTTCACAAGACTTCTAAATCGTCCGCCACCTACAACACGCCCAACAATACCAACGACGGAAGCAGAACTACCAGTGAACATTGATCCCCAGACGAAATTAGAAGTCCTGAATGCAATGCTGGCAAAGCAGCAGGACCAGATGGATTCCCAGCAGAAGCTTTGAAAATAGACCCAGAGACAACAGCGGACTTGATGACGCGATTGCTGGAGAGGGTGAGGAAGGAGGGCAAAGTACCCGAGGATTGGAAGAAAGGATACTCATTCAAACTGCCAGAGAAAAGAAGACTTAAGTCAATGCAAAACTGGCACGGAATTATGCTCCCGTTCATCACAAGCAAAATACTAAGCCGCATCATCTCGATGAGAATCAAACACGCCTACATGGATGAAAAACTTCGACCGGAACCATCTGGATTCAGGAGTAACAAGTCATGTATTGATCAAATCGCCACTCTACGAATCATCATTGAACGAAGCTTGGAATGGCAGTCACCTCTCTATCTCAACTTCATCGACTTTGGAAAGGCCTTCAACAGAGTCGATCGATAGGTGATTTGGCAACTACTTCGCTACTACGGGGTCCCATCGACAATTATACATCTCATCCAACAGTTATACGACAATGCTGCATGCCAAGTAATCCACAACGAGAAACTTACGGAAGCCTTCGAAGTGAGGACGTGAGTGAGACAGGGCTGTCTACTATCGCCAATGATCTTCCTGACTGCAGGAGATTGAATAATGCGACAGATAACGGCAGTCAACGGGGGAACAGGCATAAAATGGACTCACACAAAAGACTTGGAGGATCTGGATTTCGCCGATGATATATGTCTGATTTCCCATAAACTGGAAGATATGCAAATGAAAAGTAACAAATTGGCAGAAGAAGCATCAAAGATAGGACTTCACGTGAACATAGATAAAACAGAGATAATGAAGATTCCTAGCCAACATCAACAGCAACAACTACAACAGACAACAATAAGCATAAATGGGAAGAACCTGAAAGAAACAACCTCCTTCACCTACCTGGGAAGCATCGTCTCAACTACAGGCGGAACTGATGAGGATATCAAAGCCATAATTGGGAAAGTAAGACAAGCTTTCATTACTCTCAAATCTATGTGGAGGTCAACATCACTCAGCATCAAAAATAAGATCCGAATTTTCAACTCCAATGTGAAGTCAGTGCTACTATATGGATCAGAGACTTGCACTGCGCATCATAAAAAGCATCTCAAACAAACTACAGACCTTCATTAACAGCTGTCTTCGCTCAATAATGCTCAAGATCAGATGGCCGGCCAGAAAAGATCACCAACAGGGATCTCTGGCAATGAGCGAACCAACTCAGCAGGAACCGATTGTGAAACAAATAGGCAGGAAGAAATAGAGATGGATTGGCTGGCCCTACTCTGAGGAAACCATCAAGTGACATCACTAGACAAGCCCTCGAGTGGGACCCGAAAGGGAAGCGGCGAGTTGGTCGTCAGTGCAAGGGTGACTTGGAGAAGGTCATACGAGGAGAAGATGAAAGCATGTGGACAGACCTGGAGTGGGGTGAAAAAGTTGGCAGAAAACCGAAGGCAATGCAGGTGCGCAGCTGAAGCCCTATGTACCTCTTGGAACTAAAGTATACAATAATAATAATAATAATAAGAAGAAGAAGAAGAAGAAAGAAACCTCACACAAAAAGGGTCAAAGTTCAAGTCAAAGAAACAACCAGTTCCGATACAAGTAGCTGCCTAGAGGATGTGAAAACACACGAAAACAACCAATCATGTCATAGGTGGTCACCGACCAGGAGAGATGATTAATAAACTCATGTAGAAATGTAAAAGCTCACTTCAAAAGATTGAAGTATGCGCTGAAGAGAGATGTCGCCTAGTAGGGCGATGAAAGCTTCGCAAATTAACTATCCAGCTCAGAGAACACAATCACATCAAAATTACAGACTGCATAAGTTTCTCTGTTCCTGTACTCATTAGGAATTAGGTAAACTTTTTATCATCATCGTAAGTAACATGTTACATTTGGAATGCTTAAGATGAGAACTCGTCTTTTTTTAATGCAATCTTGGTGACATGATAGTGATTAAAATATACCTGTGAAGTCAAATACCCGCCGATGACACTAAATGTCGGTCGAGCTGAATGTCGTATATTCTCAGAAATGAGAAATGATGGGTCGGTGGATTCTTTCATAGTGGTCGAATGGTCAACAGCCCGACCATGTAAGCTGAGGGTACTGGAATTGACCTTCGTTGAGGTTATGGAGGCGTACTTGAGAAGAGTCCCAGTCTAAGAAGAAGTACCACGATTATGTACTCTCTGGTTCCCAGTGGCTCTCTAACCGATACTAATTCGTGACTAAACTTTAAACCATTCAGATCAAATGACTAATATTGTTTGCATGTGAATGTCTTGCATTTCTGACATACAAAACAAATTTATGTTCAAAAAACATTATGTTATACATTGAATAAATTGAAATAGAAATGCAAACCTGAGATTTGACACCTCTGTTGGATCGAAAGTTTTGGGACACCAGTGATTCTTACTTTTCTCTGGTTATCCAATTGCATTGAATCCTGTTTATTGAATGTTAAAATTTCTGTAAATTCTAAAATGATGGTTTGATCATAACCACCATTAAAACCAACTACCCAGGTAAGCGTAACTTGATCCCATGTAACTTCTTCGATCGTAATATCTGTTGGTGACTCCGGTTTACCTGTAATAGTAAACAAATTACAAAACGGTGGACTATAAATTGGCGTCCGTAGAGACATACTTTTTATTTATCTCTAAACATCAACACCAAAATGTTCGGTAAACTAAGAAATTATGCATCCATCAGAAGGAGTAATATTTTCCGCAGAGGTTAATACAATTCAGTCAGAAGGAGGAATTATGAGTGAATTACTTTGTCTGTGATTTAACTGCGTGCAAATTGTATACTGACTGTTGAATGCGAGATAAAAGGCTCAAGTGATCTTTTCTAAACAGACTGAGAGTCACTCAAAACTAGAGGGTAACAGTTCCGGTCATATATTAGCTGCTGAATAACTCTCTTGAATGCAGGTGAATAAACCTCTTACCCAAAGCTGAAGCCAAAAGAATATATTAGGATGTATATTAGCCATTCAGCCAAAACTATCTATTTAACCAGCTTGTTCAGTTTTAATTGGAATAGTTGACGATCAGTTGACACTTAATAGTATTGTGTTCAATGATGAAGTCAAGTCATTATGGTGCAGTAGAAAGATCTTTGCTGATATTTTTAACCGTTAAAATTTGAGGAAAATAAATATTTTTAAGTATTGATTGCATGGAGGATTTCATCATGAGCTGATATCAAATTGAGAACCACTGGAAAACCCGGGAGTACTGGACAGCTATTTCATCCTAGTTTTGGACTCTTCATCAGTATGCACCCACCGGTGTTCAAATCCTTGAACTGAATCCTTGAATTCTGACTTCTGCCAATTTACGACATAGCGCAACCGTTTCGCAATGTCTTCTTCGATGAGTTACACACTCACCTTCAAACCGCTTTTACCTACTGGCTCAATGGTCTATGAGGTCACGTTGTAACAAAAAGGTCCTGGGTTCGAACCCAGGTGGGTGAGTACTGATGAAGAGTCCCAAACTCGGCTGACGAAACAGTTGTCCAGTAATACCACCTGGTTTTCCAACGGTTCTCTAACTGATGTCAGCTCATGATGAAATCCACCATGAAAATGAATATGTTTGTCAATGAGTTGTGTAAATACACTTCAACTCTCTTCATAGGTGTATATTAATAGACTCGGTCTAGAGGGACAGCTCAATGACTTCCATTCACTGAAGTGTTTACTTCTGAATATAAAGCGCATTGAATTGTTTTATAACATTTGAATGACATTAGTTCATGTGTTTAGACACATGAAATATATATATATATATATCGATAACACAAACTGACTCCTGGGTAACTAACTGGTTGCATTCCTACTTTTCAAACAGAATGCAGTATACCCTATACCCTACATGACCTACCATCTTCAAATGACATTAACTTTGTTAAATATGCTGACGATGTGACTGTATCTTTGCCTGTCAAATGTCAAAGTGACTGCACTAAACTAAATGGCTTTTTATCAGAAGTCAGCTAATGGTCGAAGGAAAACGGTTTCACTTTAAACCCCTACAGATGTCAAACAGTTAATTTCACCTTTAGGCACAAATCTGACCTAAACAAACTGGTTAGCACTCACGAGGTGTGCAACATTGGTGGCACTGAAATTGAAACCAAGTCTGAAGTTAAATACCTAGGCGTCATTCTGTTTGCTGATCATTCCTGGTCGTCTCATATCTTGACGATTTCTAATAAAATATACCGTCTAACCTTCTACATCAAGAAGTTAAGACAGTCTGGAATAACCCAACCCTTACTCCTACAATTTGTTAACTTCCGTATTCTGCCTATTCTTCTCTATTGTTCCCCCTTAGTTTTTCCTGGGCTACTGAAGAAAGACTATACCTTATTATGCGGGATATTAAAGGTTGTCAGCAGGGTAAGCAACGTGCCACTTAACCAGCTTGTTAATATTCTGGTTGACAGGCACATGGACTCATGTGCAAAAATGGGCTAAATAAATTCTATCTAACTCTCACCACCCTCTTCACTCACAACTCTCCCCTTGTATCTCTTCAGAGAAAACCAGAAGCCTATATACAAAATTATAGGCTGACACTAGCAAGTAAAAAAGCTCAACCACGCCCTACTTAGCTCGTGTTCTGTGTGATAAAGAAAGCATTAGGCGTGAGACATAATTTATTAAAGAGTCAGTAGAACAAATGGATCTCGTCGTTCCAACTCATTTCATTTATAGGTACAACGTCTTTCTTTCTTTCTTTTCCTTTTCTCTCTCTCCTTTCTGTTTTCTATCACCTACTTTTCTAGCACCTTCAAAAACTCAGCTTAATTTTCGCTTTGCTACCGACATGCTAATTTGTTGTTGTCAAAACTAACTGAGATTACCCTTAATCTATGTAGAATTTTATTTTGTTGTTAATTTACTAACTGGATGCAATACTTTATGTAGTGAAATGCTGAGAATTCCATTCTGTATCGCAAGTACTGTTTTGGAATAAAGCTATTATCATTATCATTATTATTATTATTATTATGTCACACAAAAGTCGTCACAGAGTGTGCCCAATCCATATTTGAGAGGCAGGAGACTCTTCACAAATTTTTTGCCATAATTTCCCCTTTCTTATCATTTCCTACAGGTGATCCGATCTTTAGTATTCAGCACAGGTGGCTACTGACAGTAATCTGACCTGCATATGTTCAGTCAAAAGTTATCTAACTGACTAGTTCAGTTTGTTTATGACTGATAAGGATAATATAAACGACATGAGACTTCATATCTGCCTACATAACTGTAGAAAAACATTTCAGCGATGGTTGAATATTTACTTAAAGAGTAAACAACCCTTTCTGTAAATGCCTTCCCCCTAATATATCTGAATTGTTTTTATTTTGTCTCTAGATTACTCTATATGATTATCCCACCATTAACATATAAATGACACATTTATAAGCTAACTACTGGAAGCGAATATTTCAAAATGATTGGATAAGAGATTTCTAATGTTTGATACATTTGAAAGCATTATATCCTATTCATGCCTTATTTGAGAAAAAAATGGGGAATATGTAAGACGCGCAATATTTGATTCTACCATCTTCCTCTCCAATACTGTTATCTTGATCAAATTTGTCCACAATGGGTGGAGAGGGGGACTATACAAATGAAATTATGGGATGGATTATATCTGGTTTAGCAGTTATTTTCATTTCCTTCTGCAATGCTTTTTTTATTGACGATTTCTTGAATAAAGTTAAATGGGAAGCTAAAAAAATTGAACAGTAAGGGCTGAAATGGACAAGATCGTGAAAAAACTGTTAAAACCAAAAATAATTTGTGATCCTTGGAATCATATAAAAGTGGTAACAGAAAACAACTTCGTAATTTACACTCCCAGAGGAGAGAACGGAGATATTTGGCGCTGCCATCTTCTCATTTTACTAAATAGGTATTCTCACATCTTCAAAAAAATTGTAATCACGTCTTTGTCTGCTTTTGTTGTAAATTAATCAGTCGTGAAAGCTGTATTATCCCAAGGTCTCACATAACATAACAAAACAATGCATAATATCATAAATCATTGAGATTCACATTGTAAACAGAGAGAATTTATACAACAAAGGTTTTTGTATTTCCCAATGAATGAAAAACAAAACGATACTGCTTTTACTGACGCTTCGATATTTAATGCCGGCAATACCTTTATCAAAGTATTATGATCAAACCAGAATTTACAAAATCCACTCAGCTTATATATAACAAAGAGTTAAGAGGTGAGAAAATAGACTTCTTAGGTCAAGTTAAGGGGGACATATTGAAAGTCAAAATAACAATGAAGATCACTAAACCAAATAACAAAGGCAACAGTACATCTGCCCTGGTTGGTATCAAAACAAAGTTTACTAACTTGATCATCGTTTGTCAGTATGCGGTTGTTTTTCGTTGTGAAATTGGCCAATTGGTAAAGATAACAAAACCAAGTGTAGATTGTTGAATTAGATAAGCGTATAAAAGTATAGAAACAGTGTGTGTTTATATAATGAACTTGCATATCACATTCGTGTTGATTTTGTCATTTCACAGGTGACGGGGGTGTTGTAACCAGGTCAGATTCTGTTTTAGTCCATCATGCCTATTCAGACAATTTGGATTCCATTTGATATGAATTGCTTCTGATATTAGACGACGTTCTTTGTGATCTCTGATATTTTTTCTGAATGATCATTTCAATATTGTCAAAATTAATTTTGTCGCTTGATTTTATAGCTTGCTGACGATTTTTCAAGCTTTTCTAGTTCACGGTGGTCGAAGAGATGCTCTATGGTGTTCATTTCTTCTGATTTTGATTTATCGAGATGTTTGTCCCATGTATATTGCATCACATTCCAAGCATTTTGTTTTATTTTATAGACATAATTAGATAAAGAATCTTTAACGATTTGGTGTTTTATATGGACAAGGTTATTTCGCAGTGTGTCTGATGTTTTGAAGAAACCTCTGATGTCGAGCTGATTAAGAACTCTTCTGATATCATCTGACGTCTCTCCTCTATTTTGAATGACGACTGTTGAGGTACATGTTTTCGGAATGCGTGTTGTCTGTGTTGATTTTGTTGATGAAGTTCCTTGGGTAGTCGTTTTGCATGAAAGTTTGAGTAATGTTTCATATTTCTTCTTCTTTTGCTTGCTCATCCGTTATCAGAGAGTGTGCTCGTCTAAGAAGACTTGAAACAAATGAAATCTTGGCGCTGATGGGGTGTGATGATTTGAAGTCTAAATATTTATTGGAGTCAGTTTTCTTCCTGAATATGGATATACTAAAGTGTCCGTTTTTCCTCCACTTAACTAGGCAATCTAGAAGTGGCAGTTCATCGACGTCTGATTCTGCTTTCAAAGTAAACCGAATTCTGGGAGATAGGCAGTTTACTTTATCCAGGGAATGAACTGTGTAGATCTCGTTACAGCACTACAGCACCCCCGTCGCCCATGAAGTGACAAAATCAACACGAATGTGATAAGCAGTTTCATTATGTAAACACACACAGTTTTATAACTGTCCAAACTGATAAAATCCAACAATCTACACTTGGTTTTGTTATCTTCACCAATTGGCCAATTTCACAACGAAAAACAACCGCATACTGACAAACGATGATCAAGTTAGTAAACTTTGTTTTGATACCAACCAGGGTTGATGTACTATTACCTTTGTTATTTGGTTTAGTGATCTTCATTGTTATTTTGACTTTCAATATGTCCCCCTTAACTTGACCTAAGAAGTCTATTTTCTCACCTCTTAACTCTTTGTTATATATAAGCTGAGTGGATTTTGTAAATTCGGGTTTAATAATACTTTGAGAAAGCTTTTAGCAGGATAGATAGCGAAACGTCAGTAAAAACGATAATATCGTTTTGTTTTTCATTCATTGGGAAAAACAAAGCCCTTATTATAAAGAATATCATATACCCAATGCCCAAACATTTTTCAAACTGTTAAAAGTGAACTTGGTTTGGATATGTATAAATCCATACAACTTTTATCTATCCTTCAGCGATATTATATAAACTAGTAATCATCCCTTACTTCCATACAAAAGAACACATTATTGTCTATACCTAAAGTGTCAGCTTTTCACCCGAGAACCTGTAGACGTCATACAGATAATGTCGAACAGAAGTATCTCCTTTTAGGAATCCAGATATATCAAGTTTACGGACGATACATTTGCAGGGGCGTTTGTGTTATCAGTCATTTACACACTAATGCAGTTGTAAAATAAATCCTTATTCGGCTGATAAACAGTCAAAATATCATTCTTCCGTAATAATCCGATAGTCATCAGTAGTATGATTTGATTCTAGTGATGACGTTGATTAGTGAGTGAGAAGTAAAACGGGTTCCGTGCCCTGGATGACGTTCTTTTGAAATTATGAATTCTCAAAATTGCTGTTGATTCGCTGTAAAGAGAAAGCGATTCGTCACTTTTGACAATATCACAACATAGTGAGTTAAGCAATCCAAGTTTATCAATCGAAAGGAATCTTTCTACCTGACACTGGTTACCTAAAAGTAATCGGTCAGTTTACTTCCTAGGGACTTAGTTAAGGTGGGCAGAATGGGAGAATTGTTAAATCCCTGAATGAAGCACTGCGTGATATAGGCTGGCATCTTGGAGGAGACTTCAGGGTCTTCGTCAAGTTCACTAAAACCACCAGCTGACGATTACCAGTAAACGCCACACCTAGTTCTTGGGCTTTCTGCCGACTACTTCCCAGCTTTTTACACCAAATAAATGATTGAACCACGAGACGTGTTTGAATTCAACTGAAATAATTCATTCGGCATCTCTAAGTCCAAGATTAATGACTATAGGTTTTCTCAGTAACTAGTCAACATATATGCATTTCTCTTGCGTATATGCAACTAACAGTAAACCCTAAATGACAGCAAAACGTAAACCGCTTGTTTTACTGTTGATTTAATTTTAGATATGAATAGCAGACAGTCTGCTTGATGCCCTACGCGTCACAGATCAACTCAGAATAACAAGCCAAGTTAAACAATATTTGACTTATCATGTTTTCATTAAAGGCTGCGGACTTTAATTGACAGCCGCCTTCACAGGGCATAAACAGCAAGGTACTTCTGCCATAAACCAACCAAGAACCCACTGCTTAACTTATATGTAGAAGGGATTGTCGGTATATCAGAAACACGCGGAGGAGACCATCGAGTGATATCGACGACTGAACAGACCCTTAAATGGAACCCAAATGAGAAACAAAACTTTTGGTGTTTTAGGGTAAAATGAAGATCTTTTAAAGAGGGTATGAAGACCTCTCAGCAACTGTAGAGTCTGTTAAAGAGAACATCAGAGAACAGAATGAACTGAAGATGTCCTACTGAGGCCATTTATTTCACTCGAAAAACATGGAATATTAACTAAACTATTCTCTGAGGTAATTTAGATCCTCTTTGAAAATGCCTACTTGTACTCTATGTGAAAATTTGTTCGAAAAATAATGCATGTATTCAAATCAAATGACTTACTAGGCTTTTGTAAAATCACAGTACACTGTCGACATCCCTCTGCATTTTCAATATTAGCGATATATGCTCCAAAGTTAGTCATATTGCTCCCAGTGATAGTTAAACTAGTGAGATAGAGTGTATCACTGTAAGTGAAATTTAAGTCAGCATAATTTTTTAATTCCATTTCAGCTTCTGTTCCCGATTTCAGATCAATTTTAAAACTCTCCTTTGGGTTCATATCGATTTCACTGTAATCGTTTTGATACAATACTATTGGCTTGAATTGTTTGTCATATTTAGCGTCACATGAATGTGTCATGAGGGGATTTTTCTCAGCATGTCTCAATAAAACAGAAACTCTGTGTGGTGGGATATAGAACCAGGATAATTGACTTGGTTCAGGATTCGCTTTGAATGCACATATCAGCGTGTTTACTTTGTTATCATTGTCTTGATGAAATGTTGTCTTTTGCACGATTGTGGGACTTGATTTCTGTTTACTTTCAATGTCTATAAGAGCATGCTTCGATATAGTCTGATGTATGAGCACCGGAGGATCTTCGGTAAAAGACAAAGAAAGTCAAAGATGTTACCTATGATCAAGTCTGAATTACCAAGAAAATTAAGAAAAATCCTTGCAAAAATAGAAAATTTCAATGCCTTTTTGTAAAAAAAGAAGCATTCTTAACGTTTAGCGATCGCCTCGACGTAAAATCTAACCTCATCAGCTACTTTCAGTGTATGAATCTTGTGTCCGAAAAAATCTGGAAAGGGGCCAGTTGTTGCATACAGTCCTAGCTTGATGTGATATTTAATGTACAGCGTGATTTTTAGTACATTCATGGACTGGTTTCCAACATTCAAAATTTTGAAGTAAGCACTAAAAAGTGAAAATGAATGACAAAGCTGGTTGGAATAGCTTCCTCCACAGCTAGCCCATCGTACCAAAAGAGAATTCGTAGCGATGATTATTCAGAAGAAGAGCTTCTATGTCTCATAAGCACCATAGTTCAAAATGGATACTCATCGCGTTTCGTTGAGAAGAACACGTAATCAAGGCCATAAAAAGAAGAATACACTTCAGTGCCAACGAAAACACTTTATCTGAATCTAAAATCCAATGGAGACCTAGCAGCAGATATCCTTGAAAGGAAAATCTTCAATTCTCCGAAGAAGGACTTTTCTGAAGAAACTCTAAGAGTGATGTTCTCTAGCCACACACTACTTCGGATCAACAGGAAGGATGGACTTCCACGTATGAACACTTCAGTGTGCATATATCAGTCCCCCTGCTTGTGCGGAGCTAGGCACCTAGGTCGTTCTATGCAGGTATTATCAAAACATGTTAGCGAACATTCAGCTTGGCTGCGAAAACGAGGCACTGGTTCAATCAGAAGCGCCATAACTGATGACTTCGTCAACTGACTCAACATTCAAAGTTATTTACAAAGTAAACAAATATCAATGAAAGCCAGTGAATTTCCAACTTCTGTGCACTGCTGAAGCTCACGCCATACGCATCGAAAAGCCGGAGCTATGTGTTCAAAAGAAACCAGTCCAGCCTTTATAACTACCATGAAACCTACTTCGGTATGTTTCCTTATCCTTCAGTTCTTTTTCTTTTGTTATCTATGTGTGTAATTTTCTCTCTTTGCCTTCACTCACTTCATCCTATTTTGTCAGTAATAAAATCAGTTGTTTTAAGTTTGTCTCCATGCCCATCCTGATCACATGTGTAATCCGTTTAGAATAACCACTTTACAATTATATTATAACCCTGAGTAATTTTTTGCTACTATACCCCTTGTAATCTATACTCACACCTCCTAACTTACATTTCAAGTTGAAAATGTTGATTTCAATTGGTTTACATGTTCAATTTGTTCACACCTGTAATTCGTTCTATCCCTGCGTCTCTAAGCCTCTTGTAATTCATATCAAGTTGAAAATAATTGTCACCTTTTAATCACCTTTAAAATAATTCTCCAGTTATCAAATACTAATTTTGCACACGTTGCAACTGTTTCCTAATCCTATGCAACCTTGTCTCTAGGCTTCTTTTTTGAATCTATATTCATACCTTCAAACTTTCATATGAAGTTGAAAATTATTATCTCCTAGGTTACTATGTAGAATTGAACAAACAAAACAAGAACCAATCGCCAACCAACAAATATGCACGAGAAAGTGGAAATGGATTGGACACTCGCTGAGGAGACCGCTGGGTGACATAACCCGTTAGGCCAATGCTCGAGTGGAACCCCAAAGGGAAGCGGCGAGTGGGTCGTCAATGCAAGGGTGACATGGAGGAGATCGTGTGAAGAGGAGTTGAAAGAATATGGACTAACATGGATGCAGGTGAAAAGTACAGCAGAAGACAGAAGCAAATGGAGACGTGCAGTTGAAGCCCTATGTTCCACTAGGAACCCAAGGGAACAATATTAATGATAAATATAAACTAATGCATATAAATGCGATTGTACAGCTGCTTTTGAGAATGGAATCACTGAAATGATATCTTTGCTGAACTTCTTGTTCTTTTCCCTCTAATGATCCGATGGGTATTTTCCACGATTTGGTGGAATTATTTAGCTGTATGTTATTTAAAAGAGCGTCTACACCATGGTCAAAACCAACAGTGTTTTTTCTGCTTTTCAATTTCTTTTCAAAAATGGAAATTTCAGGTATAAATCATCAGACACCTCCTCAAATATTTCGCAAATCAACGGCGTTGTTAATCGTACCCGTTCAGCGTGATTTATAATTTTCAGGTAGCTTTCCCTGAGACTTCTCAGTCTGTGAAGGGCAACAAAATGAAACACATGGTAGCATATTAGGTATAAAATTAACTGCGAAAAGGACTCCATACAGGTGACTGAAATACAATTCGTCTGTCACGCAGCAATAACAGAGATGAAATACCGTTTGCTTTATGCGAATTATATCCTTTTTGTGTCGTGGAATGACATCAATGTGAATATTTCTTTTGTTTTTTATAATAACGTCACCTATTTTTTCGTAAACTGTAGACAGTCTTCAGTTTTTAATACACCTGTATCCATTTCTCCTAGTTTGGACGAAGAAATAAGGAAAACATTAAATGAATTCTCTTCAGCTGCTTACATCCTCATGAAAAACATATAATAAGTTACATAATTTCTGATTAGAATTTTTCGCACGGTCTTTCAGTTACTGATAGAAACTGTAGGCAGCATAAATCCAAAAATGTTGCATGCGGACGAAAAATTTAGAGTTAAAAGAGAAACCATTTATAGAACATTAGGATAAGCGGCGGTTGGAAATAAGATTCAGCTTGAAAACAAGCATTGACTATAGACAGAACACAAGATTGAACAAGAGATTTCAAGAGGTTGAGACTGAAAAGTAAAGTAAAATTATAACCTAGAGATATTGGTTTAGTAGATTTAGAAACTTAACTGTGAATCCAACTCAGTAAGTGAAAATCAGTGTCTATATTAAGTGAAATCTTAGGCAAGAGAAGAGAACACAAAAGTAATCGATAAAAACAGTTACTGTTACCGAGGTAGTATGAGATTAATCGTTCTACCTTTTTGTAAACAGAAGTTGGATCAAAGTCTTCTATTGGAAATGGTCGCTGTAAATCACTGTAACCATCTATTCTCTTGTGATTTCATTATTTTGAAAACCTGATTAATTTCCAATGTAAGTCCCTGTTCAAGTGGATGTCTAGCATTTACACTTTGGAAACAATTTTCTGCCCTTCAAACGGTGACTTTCAGAGATATGCTGTAAAAATCTACTAGACACTTCCCGCCAAGTCCTCCATATCTTCCTGTTACCACAAATGCAAGTGAATTGTTAAATGCAGTTGGAGTTGACACGGATCGGATACTTACTACTATTCATTGAATTAACAGACGTTGTGTGTTGTGGAGAGGAATCAGTCAGGTGGTGGGAAATGTTCTTTTCTATGCACCCTTAGTTCTTTCTTCGGTTCATATGTATAATTCCTCCCTTTATACACTAATTCCTTTACAACTATTTCGGGTTTCAATCCCACTTCTAGATTTAGATATGAACTTTCACGAACATCCATTCAGTTGAAAGTTCTTTTCGATAACTTGTAGTGTACATTGAAACTTTGAACTTTTGTTTCGACTCACTCACCTATATTTTGGTGCTATGTCACTTCAATTCCTGTACATTTTTGGTGCTTTTACGCTTCCTCCCTCACTGTGCTCTTCCACAAGCACAATCTTCTAGCTATCTACTCCTTTAGGTACATATAAGTTGTAAACCTTTTATATTAATAAATTCCAATTACAATTGTTAGAAATATATATGTGGTTACAAGCATGTTATGAATCCTTTTTATTTCTGCTTTTCAATCGTTCTTCAGTACTTGCAGGAAAGGCAGAGTACTGATTAAGACCTAGGTAAAAGAAGTTAGTCTTTTTGTAAGTGTGACAGGCAAGGATAAAGTCACGCACTTACAAACTCTTCAATCTTATCTTCTAAACATAGCTCCTCTGCTCTACCAAAATGTGTATCTAAAAGGCTCCGTTTGTAAAGCAAAGGCTGTGATAATCTCAACATTAACAAGTCTAAGTTTCTTTATATGGGTGGATTCTTCCACCATCCCATCACTCTATCCTTCGTTGTTGGGATCTGGGAAGTGGAACTGATTGTAAATGTAATGTGGGTTGAGCTTAATTGAGTTTTCTTATATATCTTAGATGCCCGGTACATATTACTGCAAGTCACAAATATGTCATCAATATACCTCTATCAATAGGTGGCTCTGTTGGTTTTCTACTTCACTGGAGTCTGTTCGAGATGAACCATGATTATCTTCGCAACAGTAGGATCTATAAATAAACCTATAACCACTCGATCAATTTTCCCCTACATCCGGTTGTTGAGCAGTAACTGAACAATCTTTGTACAAAACAGTAGTTATTTCTGCAGCCAATTTCCAGGAAGAGGAAGTATTTGTTTAAAAACGAACTGTCACTATGGTCTGTTTAACAAATAAAAACGGATGGAAGATAGTTGGGGTAAGTGCAGTCCTCAGATATCACTGCTGTGCTTTTCAACACTCGTATTTCTAAGCTAGAATGAAGTATTCCCCTCCTAATATATGAACCTCCATCACCTCATGCTGCAGTAAAAGATGCCACTAATAAGATATAAATAGGCATGACTAACCATTTGTAATATTTTGATTTATAAGAAAGTGTGGAATAGCATTTTTTTTATTACAGCTTGATTCCACACCGTATTTTTGGTACAAGTATGGAATTTTCAGCGTGGATATCGGTAGCCCGAATTTTGCAGGCCGACCATAGATATCAAGTGTGCGTCGGCGTGGGCTCGAACCCTGGACCATGTGCATGGCCGGCGAGAGTCCTAACCACTGTGCCACCGACGCATAGCTAAGTTTTACCACTCTTACTATTGCGAAAATTAAGGTAAACAAATTATTATTATTATTGATCCCTTGGGTTCCTAGTGAAACATAGGGCTTCAACTTCACGTCTCCATTTTCTTCTGTCTTCTGCTGTACTTTTCGCCTGCATCCATGTCAGTCCATATTCTTTCAACTCCTCTTCACACGATCTCCTCCATGTCACCCTTGCACTGACGTCCCACTTGCCACCTCCCTTTTGGGTTCCACTCGAGGGCTTGACGCGCGATGTCACCCAGCGGTCTCCTCAGCGAGTGTCCAATCCATCTCCACTTTCTCCTGCATATTTGTTGGTTAGTGATTGGTTCTTGTTTTGTTGCTTCCCAAAGTTTCTTGTTGGTGATTCTTTCCGTCCCGGCCATCTGATCTTCAGTATTGAGCGAAGACAGTTGTTAATAAAGGTCTACAACCTTTTGAAAATATTCTTTGTGACCCACCAGGTTTCTGATCCGTATAGAATAAGAAGAAGGTAAACAAATAATGGCTGTATAACCAGGGGCAATTAAAATATTAACTTACATTTCAGAACCATCTGAATTGAATTAGAGTATTCGACACCGTAATCATTTTTCGCTTGACACATGTAAATCCCTTCATTTGCTATTTCAAATGACTGACACGTAGACTGAAATCGTTTGGTTTGATTAGAATCTCTTGAGTCAACTTCACCGGTTTGAGAATAAGAAGATGGAAGGAAAGGCTCCCATATTAACTCACTAGTTGTCTCCCAAGTATAAGAACCTCTGTCTAATCCAATACACCTTAAATTTGTTAGGACTTTCTTCCATGAACAGAGATTCTATAGAGAGAGATGTAAAATATGTCATCAAGGTATTTATGGTTTTAATCATCGTAATACACAGTGTGAATAGGTGTGTAAGACTGTTTTATTTAATTGTCATTATAAGTAAACTGTATAATGAGATAATTCTTAAAAAACACTAGAACAATGCCAACTGGAAATTAAACAGGAAAGAAGGTGGCAGGAAACATTCACCTATATACAATGATCTTATCACCCCATCCTAAAAGTCATATTTCACCGTATCATCAAGTAATTCAAGAGATTTCTGATTAGATATACTTGAATGTGTTTGCGTGTAAAAAGAGTACTCTATTCTTCAGGCGTTTCATTTATATTCAACCTCTTTGGCTCTTAGTGAAGTGCGACTTTGAGCCACTGGTTCGAATCCCGATTTGCTCAACATCATACGAAACATCTTTAGTAGTTCATCCATTATTGTTGTATACAGCCAACCTTACTGAGACCATGCAGTATGGAAGATTGAGACGGTGTGATCTGAAAACATCTACGTTTTATGTAAATTAAGTTGTCTAAATGCCTGTGGCAACCAGCTTAGTCAGCTAGCCGATCCCATGCCCGGAGAAATAGACAAGGTGTTCGTGGGCCTAGTAATCCGGTCGTTTCAAAAATTTAAGCTGAAAAAGCTCGGAAACAGTGGGCTCACTTTTCTTTGAAATGTGCAAAAGTCTTCACGTCAAGAATAAATGATGTCGGCAGTTGAAAGTTTTCAGGAAGCTCATTAATTAAGATGTCTTATGTTGATAAAAGAAAAAGTGTGCATATGGACACTGAATGTTTCAAAAACGTTTCAGGCTCGCTAGCTGTCGAGAATGTGTAGATCGCAAAAGAAGTAAGACGATATGCTATGGAATAGCTAGAAATCTGTAATGTAATTGGATTGTCAAAGTGTGAGCTAAATTTCTAGTAATCTCCAGGGGATATTAGACAATTCAAGTTCAGCATTCACACATTAGGAAGAGGCTATAAAAGACTCCTTCATCTCAGTCATCAGGAGAAAATCAAAGGCATCAAGCAATATCCTGGAGGACGTTTTATGGAAGAAAACTGGAGATTTCTGAAATCTGTGGAGAAAGAAATTTCTTTAGACATTATATGGAAGAACAGGTAATAGATTACTGCCAAGAAATCGGGTGAAGGAAGCGGCAGATTGATGCACTGAACAAATAAGTGAATATCGATGGTAGGAAAGACAAACGACAATTTTATGCTACATTACCAAGTGAACCTTACTTGCAGATAAAGTTATTTACTTCTAATTTTTCCCAAAGGAATGTTCAGTATCCCTTGAGAGGTATTTAAGCGTGATACTGATATCCGTTTGTGGAGACTGATGGAAGCTGACACTGATTTGGCCAAAAATATGATTTTTCTTCTTTACATGTCATTGCGGCTGTAAGTCATATTCCTATTTCATTTTATTTGTTAGGTGTTAGCAACTGGTAACTAGAAAATACCAATGAACTGACATGTTGCATAATGCCTAGATTTTCAGTGAGAACAAACCTGACTAAAGCAGGGATAAGGGAACTGTAACCTGATAACCCTATTGAAACATAAACAAATGTTTGAGCAAATACGATCAATTAAAATATAAAATAAGTAATTGTGGTAATCTTAATTAAATTAAGTGAGCAATACTTAAAAGTGACACTATACTAAAAGCAAAATACTTAGGCGATTTACTTACGTCATTCGAACTCGGCACACGACTTGTACTTATCACAGCATTATTATGCAACCAAGTAATTTGAGGTGCTGGTTTACCATGAGCAACACACCGAAGACGAGGAGATAGATTAAAGTTAAATGATGGGTTCATTATATGCTCAAGGTTTGGTCCTTCCACAATTTGAGGTGATTCTTGAAACAAAAATGTTAAATAGTAGATGATTTTTTTTATGAAATTAAGTATAACGGACACTTCTAGGCTAAGAAATACGATGATAAATATTAGTTGTAAAGATATCTGTTACATAAGCTTGAGTGAATATCTTTTATCGAGTTGCGCTCACATCTGAATCCTATTCTTACTACACCTTCAGGGACAACTTGGTATTATTTATTAAAATTCTGTGGTGAATGTACCCGTTTTCTGGTGATTGAGAGATATTATTATTATTTCCTTTAATTCCTAGAGTGACACAGGGCTTCAGCCTGGCTCCAAGTCTGCCCATATGCTTTCACCTGCTCTTCACATGACCTCCTCCTAGTCACCCTCCCACTGACGACCAACTCGCCGTTTTTCTTTCCTATTCCACTCGAGCAGTGGCTTGTCTAGTGATGTCACTTGGTGGCCAATCCATCTCCATTTCTTCCCGCCTTTTTGTTGTACAATGGATTCCTGCTGGGTTGGTTCATTCACTGCTAGATATCACTGTTGCTGATCTATTCTGACCGGCCATATGGTCTTGATTATTGGGAAAGACAGTTGTTATTGAAGGTCTGTAGTTTGTTTGAAATGCTCTTTATGAGGTGCCAAGTCTCTGATCGGTATAGTAGCACTGACTGACTTCTCACTGGAGTTGAAAATCCGGATCTTATTTTTGATGCTGAGTGATGTTGACTTCCACACAGACTTGTGAGTAATGAAAGCTTTTCTTCCTTTCCTGATCCTCCATGCTTTGATATCCTCATCAGTTCCGTCCGCCTGTAGTTGAAACGATGCTTCCCAGGTAGGTAAAGGAGGTTGTTTCTTTCAAAGTCCTCCAATTGAGAGATATTTGCACATGAATTCTAACTTCTACGAACTCGTGATTTAGAGCAACTGGCACCAAACAATGTCGTCGGTGGGACATCCATCCTCATAGCTGACTGGATGAACCTCACTGGTAACGACTTCTAACTAGAATACCAGGAAACTGCGTCCTGTAGCAAGTCACTAGCGAGCATCAGATTAATTCTCTGTAGTTGGTTGGTTACGATTAGTTTTGCTTTTACGAGTTGATCACATATTTATGTAAGTTAGAGAATGTCTGATAGCCAACATGAAGTACTGGACAGCCACGTTTCCCTAATTGGGAATCATCGGTAGTACGCCACTACTGGAGTCGTGATTGAATTGAGTCCCAATGGCTCATTGGAATACTAGGCCACTTGCCTTGTAACCGGAAGGTTCTGGGTTCGAACCCTGGCGGTGGATGTGTAGTGCTGATGATTCCTAAACAAGGATGAAACATTAGTCCAGTACCCCATGATGGTTTTCAATGATTCTCTAACTGATATCAATCTGTGGTCAAACTCGTGAAAAGGTAGTTCACATTATTGACCAGCGATATTCACCAAGTCATGCGTGAAGAAAGACAGTCGACAAAGATATTGCCTCTCTGTACGGCTGCACACCTTCAATAGAAAGAAGTCAGAATTCGAAGACTAAGTGGCTGAATAGTCAGCGGGTTCGCGTCGTGACTTGAAGGTTTCCGGTTGTATCTCGTGAGTGATCATGGTTGGAGGAGGAGACATCTGTCAAATACCAGTCGGTTTTAAACTGAGTGGCAAAACTTAAACTGAAACAAATAGAGCTCTCTGCTATCATTTCTGCCGTACTCGAACACTGGCTCTTAATTCGCTGTTAAAATAAAAACATCTATTAATGAAGAGTTTTTGTGTCAAAGTTTGAAGTTTAACGGACTGCTAACAACACAAAGGCTTTTACGAATAAAACCAACTGCTAAGATTTTCGATGAAATTCTCTGATCATATTACGTAGGTTAATAAAATGACCTTTTGAAATAGTGTCCATTCTTGTAGGTCATTGAAAAAATAGGCACAAAGGCAATGTGACATTTTTCACAGGATTATACACTGCGAATTGATATAAAGGTAGAAGAATACCAGGAGTTGCATTTCGTCCATTTTGGTACTCATGAAGGAAAACAGTTTCCCGCCCAGGTTAATAGACAAGAATCTCAAATCTAAGAAGACTTCCGAACAAGTCCAATCCGCTCCAAATAAAATACTTCTGCTTAATCTAGAATTCAAAGGTGATATTGAAGCAGAAATCCTGCGTAAACGCCTTTCCAAATCGCTAAGGAAAACATATTTCGCCGCGAGCCTACGACTGGTATCTTCCTGCAAGAAACTGTTCAGCCCGAACGCGAAAGACAAGCTGTCACATTGGGCCACCTCAACGTGCATAAACTAGTTTACCTGCTCTTGTGGAGCTGAGTACAATGACCGTACCACGCGCCGACTTGAAAAACGCACTCATGAATACTATCCAACCTGGTTAGTAAAAAGAGACCAAAAGCGTGTATACAGTTCAGTGACAGAACATCTGGTCAATTCAGGATATGCAACGCCATTCAAAAAATCCTTCAAAGATTACAAGATTCAATGAAATCTATCAAAGGGAGCGAAATCAAGACATCTGGGCATAGCCGTGTCGCTAGCTATCAAAACCTCAAACACACGCTTTGTGTCCAAGAGAAATACGTCCAACCCTAGTTCCTACCATGGCCATCATAAACAGGTAATTTTTTAGTAATGACCATCCCATCGCCTTTCTCATCTAAACTTCCTATTTATTCATGTTATTTTAAGTTTGCTTAATCCCTATTTACAATACCATATTTTCACATCCAAAATTCCTGTTTATTTTGTCATTTTATTATTTCTACATTTCTAATCCCTAACTGCACAATGTCAATCTTCTTAGTTATTATGATGCTACTTTTTTGAGTTTTATCCGTCCCCCTGGCATTCTAATTCCGAATTGTAATTTTTATTAATTTGACCCTTAACCAGAAATTATTCTGGAACTTTCTCATCCATTTGATATAAGTAGACGAAAGTACAGCCTAAATGATGACTTCTTCGAAAAGAAAATTTTATTCGCTGCACTTGTCTTCTTAGTACTCATAAGTGTTATGACTGAACGGAACTGACCCATTGTCAATTTGTTATAACTTCGTTGCTCATATGTTGTCACTGAAGTGAACTGAACTGAACAAATCTGTCACTACTTTCTCATGTCTGCGCCTGTTAATTACTATAACGATAATAGATCTGTTTGTCCGTTGTACCTTCCGATTCGTTGAGCTTAGCCACGCAAATATCAATGGACAGAGGTCTGGCTGTGATTGTAAGATATTGTATAATATCTCAGTTAGGAAGCAAAACATGATATTTATACATTTATACAGACCATAATAAGGTCGGCTCACAACGGTGGGAATGGAATGTTCTTATTGGCTAGAAATGTCTATTTTCATCGGTTGGTGGTCTGACAAAGACCAAGGTGGGACAAAAGACGATGAAGTGATCATAGTATCGTGAAGACTGGCTGCTAGCCATATTAGTAGACAGTAATTGACGTCAAAGTTTACGTGCCCACTATTGGTCATGAGAAAAATAAGAATAAAGACTGACTGAACAACCAATCACAGCGTACTTTGTTTGTGTAGGCGGATACAAATCTCAGATAGATAATCTGAACTTCAAGAAACGGCCACAAAGAGATGAGAGATGAACGTCCAGTAAGAAACCACCAGTCGTAAAACTGTGTTTGTTTGCTTACAATAATCTATAATTATGTACATGAAAATATATAAATATGTGTTGATTTCCTAAATTAACGATCTTTTGCCTGGCTCTTGCCTTCGGTCTTTACATTCAGTGTCACTGCCAGCCCTCACCCCAACAATATGTGTTAGAAATGATACATTCACATATTAACTCCATCACAAGATAAATCACACGATTCGTGAGAAATGATGATGTACTATTTTATGCTAGTTCCTATCAATAAGCTTGATTTATTTGTGATGGTAGGTGATAATTAGTATTCTAACTGTGATTCAGCGTTATTCACGAGACCTCTTGGTCCATCAGAGCCACAATTTGTACAATGGGGATAAGAGATTACTTTGTTTGTCTAACTTTTTGTCATTCCTGTGGGTTTATTATTATAGACTGAAATGCCCAGTCTCTTTAAGTAAGTCGGTTTCTACTGATGACGCTTTAGGGATATCTGAGGATTACCTTGATCAGTGAGTGGAAAATGTTAAAAATAGTTTAACAGATATATAATATTTTTATCATCACAACTATTCCCCATATCACCTCATCTAACAAACAAATTCAAAGGAGGAATAGTCACTGATTCCCTCGCCCCCCCCCATTTCCAATTCAATCATCAGACAGAGAGAACAGCCTACTTCTACGTCATAATACACCGTGATTCTTCTTTCCAAAGTTCATGGAGATACCATTAATATTTTTTTGGGACAAGTATCAAACGACTTTGTCCCTCTCACGAATGTTCTTGCATATCGTTTTCTTTTATGATAGGAAAAACCAAAAGATAATAAATTTGTGGCAAGAGGATGGGAAAAAGTTGAAGCCTGCATAAATCAAAACAAATCGACATTTATACAAAGACTATAATGTAGAGTTTGTAGAAAGGAAAAAAAAGGAACAAGGCATACATGAAAAATCTTTTATTTTTTTTCCCATATGTATTGATTACGCATAAATAAATATCAGGATTTAATATGTTTTTGTCTACTTGAATCAGTTATTGCCGTCTTAAAGGGGAAATGCAGAAAAATAGTAGTCTACTTGAAGTATTTTGTCTGAAAAGGTTACTGAAGCAAGAGAAGTAGACATTGTTGAAAACTAAATTTTACAGTCAGTTAATTTAGCGAAGACAGAAGTGATGAAGATAGCTAACTCAGAAAAACAAGGCTCAAAAACCATTAGTGAGAGAGACCTGGGCAACATTAAGACAACCACAGAAGGTTAAAGGATTTTGTTATCAGCTGAGATCAGTTTGAGAACCATTGAAAAATCTGGGAGTACTGAACAGCCAGCTGTTTTCATCCTAGTTTGGGACCCTACACAATACTCATCCACCGCCAGGTTTCGAACCCAGGACCTTCTGGTAAAATTGCGAGCTCGTAGCGAACCACTGGTCCATGAATTCTAACTTCTGCCAACTCATGACATAGCGCGATCACTTCACAACGTCTTTTGAATGAGTTATCGTCTCACCTTAAACCTGCCATATCCTACTGGTCACGGTTTCCAACTAGAACCACAAGTGACTGTTTGAATAAAGACAGTCGCCAGTGAGTGTCAGGTTAGTTTTCAAGCACTGGTTTTGTAGGGATTTTGTTCGATCCGCTGGAGGATAACATCATGAGCTGACATCGAAGAAGACATTGCGAAGTGGTCGAACTATGTCATGAATCGACAGAAGTTAGAGGTCATGGACCAATGGATGAGGTCCTAGTGGCTTATTGGTCTACCGGCTCGCCTTGTATCCAGGAGTTCCTGGGTACGATACCTGGGGGTGGGTGCATACTGTTGAAGAATTTCATAGAAATAGGACGAAACAGTTGTCCAGTACTCCTAGGATTTTAAATGGTTTTCTAACCGATATCAGCTCATGATGAAACCTTCCAACCAATCAAACGAAATTCCTACAAAACCAATTCATGAAAACTTCAGAATGCACAAATAGGGTTTTTATTATTTATTTTTAATTTTTTTAATTTTTGGTAACAGCTTGATTCCACACTGTACTTTGGTACAAGTATGGAATTTTCAGCGTGGATATCGGTAGCCCAAATTTCGCAGGCCAACCATAGATACCTGGTGTGCGCCGGTGTGGGCTTGAACCCCGGACCATGTGCATGGTCGTCGAGAGTCCTAACCACTGTGCTAGCCAGGACCAAAGAAGTAAGAGATATACCTTTCTTGATCTGAAATCAATGTGGTTGTCTTTTGTGAACAGCATATGAAACAAGATTAGAGTTTGAAATTATCCTTTCCACATGACTAGGACTCTCGCCGACGATGCACATGGCCAGGGGTTCGAGCCCGCGCCGACGCACACCTGATATCTATGGTCGGCCTGCGAAATATGGGCTACCGATATAACATGCTGAAAATTCCATACTTGTACCAAAAATACGGTGTGGAATCAAGCTGTAATCAAAAATCAAAAATAAAACTAAGAGAATTATTGCACTCGTCAAGGAAACGATTCTAACAGCTAGTTCCAGACATTCATCAGAAGATACACACCACCCTCGATACTGAAGACCAGATTGGATAAAGGATAAGTGGCAAAGAGATCTAACAATGATTCAATGAGAGCCTATCGTCACTCAAATGTGCAGATGAAATTGAAGATGGATTAAAAGTGCTCAAGAGAGACGGCTGAGTGAGGCAGAGATTCAGACTGTATGGTGCAGCTCGAATAAAGAATGACAAGATGGATGTTGTAGAAGTGTGTAGCTGAGGACATCATTTGCAGAGGAGATCAGAGTATTTTAGCATATAGGGAACCAGAGAAGAAGAGTAAAATTGTCGTATGCCAGTGACTCCCCCTGTTCCCCTAGGGACCCAAGGAAATTGTAGTATGCAGGTTAGAAAATTAAAGTTAAACCGAAAAAGTGTTAATTCTAGTGTGTGTGTGTGTGTGAAGACGATGGTGAAACTGAAAGGCTTTTTAACCGCATAAAAAAATTGTGAAGGCGATATCAGTTATAACATAATATACAAAAGTTGTTATTCATATAAGTATAAAACTTGGCCACTGTGGTAGAGTATAACTCTATTATGGATAAGATTTTATTTTGATAGATCACACAGTGTTATACAGTTATATTTACTGATGACCACGTTTCGAGCACAAACTACTGCCACTCATAATCATATCAAGTCACTCACACACATTCCTTCCTTCATTTATATACCTTTGTGGAATTGACAATTAGACATTTGAATAGAAATCAGTATGGGATAATGTACATTCAGAAATAATAATGTGAGTGTTATTGATCATTTACAGTCAGATGGGAAGTCAGACGAGTGTTTTTATAGTCAAAATAAGTAAGTACCTTGTTAGAATGTTATGATGTGCTTGAATTAAAATAGAATTTTAGGACTATTTATTATCCTCATCTGATTTGACTGACTGACTGGTGGTAATAATATCTTCCATATTTCTGGTATTTGCATTAAGTCATTTCTGTTGCATGTGTTGGGTGTAGATCATTCGATGTACTAGGATTCAGTAATCAGTCCCTCTCTTTCCACCTTCATAGATTACTTTTTAGAATTTTGATCTTAACCCGCCCTATTGTGTGGTTATTGCTGAGCTTTTGACTAAATTACCTATCTTTTCAGGGTCAACCATTCTTCGCTTGCTTAAATTCTTATGTTATGATATTCTAACTACCTCCGACCTACTAGTTTCACCTATGTACTTGACCTCACAGTCATTGCAAGGTATTTTGTAAATTGTATTATTTTTTCTTGTTGGGTCCACTGGATCTTTCAGCCTACAGAGTTTGTCTCTGAGTGCGTTTGTAGGTTTCAATGCCACCCTAATTCCTGCTTTATTGAGAATCATATCATATGATTATGAGGAATGGTTTGTGCTCGAAATGTGGTCATCAGTGAATATTACTGTATAACACCACTGTGTGTATTAATTATCAAGATAAAATCTTATCCATAATGAAGGTTGATATTTAGCCAACAAAACTTCACATGGGAAAGTAAGCCAGTGCTGGTTTCATTTGACATGGTTCACTTCCATCTGCCAAGCATGAATAAAACTATAAATTAACATGATTTCGATGCGGATTTCTAGTGGTATGGGAATTATATATATATATATATATATATATAAATGCGCAGATACCTATTTATAGACATCAACAAGCTCTGTCTAGCTTACCATGTACAGTAATATTTGTTGGTTCACTGATTGCCTTTCCAACATCATTCTTCACTTCACAATAATACAAGCCATCAATATGTGGATCAGTTAAATTAATCAAGATTTGATCTTCATATTCAATCGTCTTTGGTTTGATTGGAAGTGGAGACAATGAATTTGATGAAGAAGATTTCATTGTTTTACATGACTGTGGAATCCACATCCATTTGACAGATGGGGCAGGTAGTCCAGGTGCTGAAAGGGAAATATAACCAGTGTTGTATAATCTAAATCGTATACGACATCGTCAAACACAGCAAAGAATGACAATCAAAACTTTGCTTCAACTCCACTGACTTTGAAAACGCTTTCGAAGAGCTTTGACTGTGAAGTAATTTGGGGATAACCTCAACACTATAGAGTGACCTTAATTTTTGTAAACTTCATCAGACAGTTAGGCAACAGTATCGAGTAATCCAAAACAGGAACTCAGAGATGCATTTTTATATCACCGATGATATTCTCCATTGTGGTGGAATAAATTATGTTGTACACCGTGAGTAGGGAGCAAGAATACAGAAGTGCATTGAACGTACAAAATGACACATGAAGATCTGGATTTAGCTGATGATTTATGGCTCACAAGGCTCACAAGTCAGCATCCAATAAGGTGATAGATGAAGCAACCACCGAAGACGGGACTTAAAGTCAATTCAGAGAAATTAGATTTCGTGAAGACGATCAATCACTCACCATCTACGCAAGAAATTTAAAAGAGCTGACTTTCTTCACTTATCACGGCACAGTAGTTTCAACTACAAGCTGAAGATTTAGAAACCCGACTATGAAAGGCAAAACAAATCTTCATCACTCTAAAATCCGTTTCGTGATGTTATATCCTCAGGATAAACAACAAAATTTGGATTTGCAACGCCAATGGGAAGTCAAACATTTCTTCAAAATAGGTCAGAAACTTGCTGGAGTCGTCGTAAAAAAGCATTTCCTAAAGAATACCGCAGACTTTTATTGACAGTTGTCTTCGTTCTAAATTAAGGACCGAATGGCCAGAGAGAATTCTTAACCAGAAATTCTGGGAGTAATCCAACCAAAAAACTATTACTCAACAAATATGTTGAGAAAATGGATATGGATCGGGTATCCACTGAGTGTGATATCTCGCATCAGGCCCTTGAGTTGGATTCAAATTGGAAACAGCTAGTTAGGCGTAGGTTCAAGTGTGACATGAATGAAATCGTGTGATGTAGAGGTAAGAATCTATAGGCAGTCGTGAGGAGAATTGAAAAGAACTGCAGAGAATAGTTAGAACTGGAGACATGTTGTTGAAGGCACATATTCATTTCAAAATGAAAACAGCTGCACTTTCGTGAGGGAATTAACCCACATTCACTGTATACTACTCTTCCAAGGACGACAGAGACTATCAAGGTTTTACGGTGTTCAAAGAGGTCTTGTAAGTGTTTAGCAAAGCCAACTGCCGAGATTGATCATTAAAATATGAATATTGCTGAACTTGAACTTTTCTAATTTATAATAAATGGGTTCTTCACTTTCAAGTTAATAATAAACCGTAAATTAAGTTACAGGATTTCATCATAAGCTAGCATTGATTAGAGAACCACTGGAAAACCTGGGAGTACTGTACGGCTGTTTCGTCCTAGTTTGGGACTGTTTATCAGTACGCACCTACAGCCACGGTTCGAACCCAGGACCTTCTGGTTACAAGGTGACCTCATAGCCAATTAAGCCACTGGGACCCAATCCATGGGCCCATGAATTCTAACTTCTGCCAATTCATGACATAGCGCGACCCCTAGCCAATGATTTTGGCGAGTATTTGTCCTCACACACCCACCTGCTGCACCCTACTGGTCACGAATTCTCACTAGAACCTCTACCAGCTCTCTAGTACTCCAAGCTGATTTTCCAATGGTTCTCTAACCAATGTCAGCTAATAATGAAATCCTGTAACCAATCAATCAAATCTCTACAAACCAACATTTGAAAATAAATTAGGTGTTGGATGTCAATTATTATAGTATGACATTGTTGTTTTTTTAGCAGAGAAGAACAGTCTGTTTATAATTGTGTGTGCGACTTCTTCTTTCAACGGAAACAAAATACTCTAAGAACAAGATTCTCACTCACTTGTAGAAGCCAAAACTGCAATGTTCATAACGGTTACACACTGTGAGAAACACGTGTCATGTCAATTTTGCTACTGCACAATTTTTTATACAAGTAACATTCAGTCACTCGAAAATTTATAAATGTAAAATGTTTTTAAAAAAACCTACTAAAAGAAACGTATTTTCTATAAACATGATGAAATTAAATGTGATCCTGATCAGTACTTTAATTCATTAGAATATTTCTGACCAAAGACAAAATAATGAAATGCAATACTACACCTTAACACACCACAATGAAAGGTAGCCAATCAAAACACGACTACATGAAATAACAACTGACATAGACTGGTGCAATTCTGTGAAATATGTTCCCATTGGTTGATCCTTAAAGGAAGATTCAAATATTTTCATGGAAAACTTCTTTGTCATGAATTTTAATGTCTATGAAAAAGTTAAGGCACTGAAACAATCTTATAAACTAATGGAATCAAATTAAATGTATTCAGATGGTTTCAACTAGATTCGCAAACAACATAGCTTTGACAAGAAGAAAATTTATTACTGAAATGGATGACTATGCTTTATTGATATTCTAAGGGGTATATTTCCATACACAACGCAGACCTCGAAAAGAAAGAAGAGTTCTACAGACAACTACAGGCAGCAATGGACAATACTCAAGCCGGTGACATTTAAATACTAATGGGGGACATGAACACCAAACTAGGACCAGACAACGCAGGAAGGGAACTCATCATGGGTAGAGAAGCTCTCGGAGAAATGAATGAAAATGGAGAACTCTTCGCCGACTTCTGAGCCTTCAACGAACTAGTGATTGGTGGCAGCGTATACAAACACAAAGATATCCACAAGGCTACATGGATGTCACCAGATGGACGAACCAAAAATCAAATTGGCTTCACCTAGATGCTCCTCAAGTAAGTGGAGGCGTAGCCTACTGGACACAAAAGCAAGAAGAGAAGAAGACGTTGGCTCAGACCACCATCTCGCACAAAAGACAATCTAAATCAAATTAAAAGCTTTCAGGGAAACAGGAGCTGCAGATAGACCACAAGCCAAGTTCAACACTCAAAATCTGAAGGAACAAGATACAAGGGACATCCTCACTGCAAGCACAAGTGACAAAGCCGAGACATAAGTCAACACCAGCAAAGAGGTTAGCATCGAAAAGCACTGGGACAACGGTGTGGAGTCAAACCTGCGTGGAAGTTCTAGGCAGAAAGAGGAGAGAGGACAAACAGTTGTCCAGTACTCCCAGGTTTTCCAATGGTTTTCTAACTGATGTCAGCTCATGATTAAATCCTCCATACAGACAAACAGTTACTCACTATTGACATTTGGAAACTAATAGAAGAGAGAAGGACAGGGAAACAAAAGAATATCCAGTGCACCGACGAGCAACAAAAACAGGAGTTGAATACAAGCTACAATACACTGAACAAAAGAGTAAAGAAGAGTGCCAGAGAAGACAAAAGAAAATATTATGAAGCCATGGAAAGTGAAGCAGAACAAAGTGCAGGCATAGGAGACCTTGCCACGCTCTACCAAACAACTAGGCACCAATCGGGCAAACGTTCGACACAGAATAATCCAGTAAAGGATGGCAATAGAAAGTCAATCACCAAAGAGGTAGAGCAAAAAAAACACTCGGCTGAACATCTCAAAAGACTTCTAAATCGACTGCCACCTAAAACGCGCCCAACAATACCAACAACAGAAGCAGATCTTTCAATGAACATCGACCCTCCGACGAAATCAGAAATCCTGAATGCAATCAAGATGCTAAAAGCTGGAAAAGCAGCAGGACCAGATGGAATCTCAGCAGAAGCATTGAAAATACATCCAGAGACAACAGCAGATTTGATGACGCCATTACTACAGAAGGTGTGGAAAGAGGGCAAAGTACCCGAGGATTGGGAGAAAGGATACTTATTCACACAATGAAAGAAAGGAGACTTAAGTCAGTGCAAAAAATTGGCGTGGAATCATGCTCCTGTCCATCGCAAGCAAAATACTAAGCCGCATCATCTCGATAAGAATCAAACAAGCCGTGGATGAAAAACTTCGACCGGAACAAGCTGAATTCAGGAGAAACAAGTTATTTATTGATCGAATCGCCACTCTACGGATCATCACTGAACAAAGCTTGGAATGGCATTCACCTCTCTATCTCAAATTCATCGACTTTGAAAAGGCCTTCGATAGTGCAGCGTCAATCGAGAGGTGATTTCGCAACTACTCTGCTACTACGTGATGCGATCGACAACTATATATCTCATCCAACAGTTAAACAACAATGCTGCATGACAAGTAATCCACAACGGGAAACTTACGGAAGCCTTCAAATTAAGGACGGAGTGAGACAAAGCTGTCTACTAGCGCCAATGATCTTCCTGATTGCAGTAGGCAATGGAAGGCAAAGGAGACGCGCTGCTGAAGCCCTATGTTCCTTTACATATTAGTTAAGTTATATAACGAATCATAGGAGACAATATTAATCACATTCTTATCTTTTCATGCATCTTCTTAGACGTGCTTCACTTCCTGAATTAACGGATAAATAGAGTTGGATGTCCTAATGGCCGGATAGTTTAGATTCTTTCATTGTTCTTCTGGAGAACATCTTTAGTGATTAAGTGAGTATGAGGTGAGGGTCTTAATCAATAGTTATTTACAAGGTGTTTCCATAACTTTTATTCTTTATATCTTCTTTGGTTTAACTGTCGAGTAAAGTTGTACGCAGCCTAATTTTTGGGCATGTTACGTCGCAATGGAAATAGCAGACGGATAACCTGCGTAAAACAATGAACTGCTTCTCATTTCCTCTGTTTCTCCCAATTGTCTTTAACAGCCGATTACATCCACAGGATAGCGGCATTGAACTCATGTAAGCTGTCAGCTGACTTCCACCCTACCAGTGTGTTCTTCAACAAGATAGTAAAAGGAGATATTATGTGTCATGTAATACACTGTCGGTTAACATTTGACGGGGAGTAAATAACTCACAAGATGTGACTTTGAGATTACCGTGTGCGTAAACACAATTTTCAGGATAAAGTTGATAGTATTATTAATATTATTGTTGTTGTTAAACGAAGAACAGTTAATGAACCGGAAATCACAAACACTTCATAATAGAAATGAAAATCTTGTAAATAGCGGATGCATACACAAGTACACAAAACTTACACCTTGTATTCTGTACACACTGTAGTCTTACATACCAGTTGTCATTGCTTTGTGACCGGGCTATTGTTCTGATGGTCGGTTTACCAGGTGGGTCTCCATATAAAAAAATAAAGGGAAGAGATTAAAGAATCACTTCAGTGTCAATAACAAACAAAAGCAACACAATAGAAAAATCACAAGTTACTGAATAGGAAAATATTTACATCCTGTTACAGATAGAGGCAAATTACTTATTGGAAAAGAGATACTTGGACTGTTTTGTAAACATTGTTACCGGAAAGCAGTTTGAATTTATCAACATTGTTAAACGCTATAGGTACGTCTTTGTACTCACGCCTAAGGCATACTTCATTACAACTGTTAACATATTTTAATTATTTGTTAAGGGAAACGATTATGTTTAGTAAACTATCTGTTATATGCGATAATTAATAGCAAACTTGCATCCGAAAATAATAATTTTGCGAGATAGAATAACGAACAGCTGTTTCGTCCTAGTTTGGGACTCTTCATCAGCACGCACTCGCCAGGGTTCCAACCGAGGACCTTCTGGTTACAAGGCAAGTGACCTCGTAGACCATTAAGTCAGCGGGAACCGATCCAATGGTTCTTGAATTCTAACTTCCACCAATTCACGACACAGCGCAACATTTTGCTATGTTTTCTTCGATGAGTTACTGCCTCATCTTCAACCTGCTGTATCCTACGGCTTCACGGCTTCCCACTAGAACTCCAGGTTAACTGCCTGAATACGTTCAGTCACTAGTGAGAATGAGATTAAGTTTTAATGACTCAGTGGTCTATGAAGTCGCTTGTCTTGTAACCAGAAGGTCCTGCGTACGAACCTTCGTGGGTGCGTGCAGCTGAAGAGTCCAAAACTAGAACTACACAACAGTCCAGTACTCCCAGGTTTTTCAGTTATTTTCTAACTGATGTCAGCTCATGATGAAATCCTCCATACAGTCAAACAAATTCCCTACAAAACCAATACTTCAGGACAGAATAACAACTAGCTATTGATTTAAGTGCATATGATTGCATCATATTGTTGTCGTGGATTACGAAGTAGGCAATGAACCTAAGTCTTGATTATATCATAAACTGCGACTAGACAGATATTCTTCAGAAAACTACGAATAATTGGATTAACCACTCTGGTAGTGCCCACCAGTGATATTAGGAGGGATAGAGTCTCGTATTTTCCGGTTACAAATCAAGCTCTTTGACTCTCCTGCCAATGGGAAGGAACCCCGTATCCCATGTTATTTTAACTTCTTCTAATTTGCAGTATATGATGGCATGATTAGCTAAAGACTATGACAACTATTTGTCCTCATATTCAAATAGGTGAACCTCGTTGATCATCGATTACTGACTAGTGTGTTTTCGAGTTATTTTCTTCTGAGTCGTCACCAGTACAGAGAGGATACGTAATTCGCCAAAGACATTTACTAGTGATACTACGAATTGGCAGAGGTAAGAAATGCTGGGCTAATTGATTCTTTCACAACATTTGAATAGTCAACTGGTAAGCTTAGTAACATGGAGGTAGGATTCTGGCTGCTGTTACTGGTGTGTACTGATGAGAAGTTCAGAAATTGGAGGAGAGAGAGAGAATTCCAGTACTTCTTGCATCTCTGCTAATCAGTAATTAGTGTACAATCCAAAAAAAATGAAATACACTCCTACAGGAGGTCATTCTCGAGCCTGAATAGCTCAGTGGTAACGGCTCCGACTTCATCACTAGAAGGGAAATGAGTTCCTTCGAGGTTACAGATCCGCCTTTCTGATGACTGCCAACTAGCATGAAACTCAAATCAACAAAGGCTTCCCGTTTATTATCTTTAACCGTCTAAAGAAGGAACAAAAAGAAATAAACTCTGGTCAGAATCCCATTTTCCTCATGAGCAGCTTATTTTACGCAAATCTTATGCCCGCTAGTGACTTGATACAGGATGGAGTTTCCTGGAGTTAGTTATAGTGAGAAGTCTTGACCAATGAGGTCCATCCAATCAAGTGTGAGTATGAATGTACTACCGACGACATTGGTTGATGCCAGTCGAGCTAAATCACGAATCGGTAGAAGTTAGAATTGATAGGCCGGTCATTGAGGAGTTGGGTCTCAGTGGCTGAATGGTATACGAGCTAGCTTGCCTTTTAACTGGAAAGTTCTGTGTCTGAAACCTGGCGGTGGGTGCGTACTGCCGATAATTCTCAAACTAGCCTGACGAAACTGCTGTACATTACCTGCAGTGCTGATTTCAATGGTTCTTTAAATGATGTCGGTCTCTGGTCAAACTCGTGAAAAGCAAAACTTAGTGTAGTATGTCTGCTTAACCCTGTGGGATTTCATTATTTTTGAAACTTTCAAATTTACTGGAAACAAAAGTTTCTCCACATTATCATCGGTAAAAACCTCTTACTAATGTATACAGAATATGTTTTCTTCAATTTGATCAGATGAATAACATTTTTTTGATTGCACACTAATTAGTATCTCGCGTCTAGTTCTTTGTTTAATGCAGATTGAATTCCATCAGTCGACTTTGAAATGTGAACACCATTCCACCTAGCTCGTCATCAAATTGTGCGTCAGATTGCTATTGTAACAACAGAAGACAAGGGCCGGCAACAGATCGTTTTATTACGCAAATCAGCACGTATTTATATATATTTCCTGTACATTATTATAGCCTATTCAAGTAGACAAACACAGTCTTCTGATTGGTTGTATATAGTTTCTCGGAAAGTTAAGCAGACAAACGCAGTCTCCCGATTGGTTGTTTCGGGTTCCTCGGAAAGTGAGGCCATTTATCTCCGAATCTTATTTGCCCACGTTAAGTCTGCTGTGATTGGTTGTTGAATCAGCCTTGTTCATATTTTCTCACGGCCAAAATTAGTGACCTAGACATCGACATAGAATAATGTCTACCAATGGGCTAGCAGCCTGCTCTCACCACACTATTACTAGATGGCTTGAATATCAGATGGGACGTGAATTACTTCAAAATCACAGGTAAGCGTTGCTGACGGGTAGAAAAAAACATGAAACCTAAATTGAAGTCTTTCTGCCTCTTACCTCCAATCATCTTATTATACGAATAACATTTCTACTGGTGAGAATATCAAGTCATATATCAGTTGAATAAAAAGTCGTTTTATGCAGTAAATCTATGACTCTGAAGATCAAAGTATAGAGAAATACTGAAGATTATGCAGATTTCTCTGTTTCGACTAACAACACTAAGTATTCAAGCGGACTACAACCAAGAAAGAACATAGATTCCTTAATTCCTGGAAATGATCTCAACAATCTCAAAGACTGAACATTTTGAAATAGATCGGGAATGTATATTGGTAGAATATACATCCAACAACTAACAGGCGCGTATTGCGATAACAAGACTTACAATAGACGAATAAGTGTGATTCACTTTCTCTTCGATATGAGTAGGTGTCTAAACCTCTTATATGAATATCATTTTCAGCAGCACATCCATAGACACCAGCGTCATCTATGGTAACAGAGTTGATCTGCAGTACAGGACTTGACCAATGTGTTCGATCCTTGTCAAGGGTATAATTATCTCCATAAAGAGGTGAATGACTGTTGGTAACTTTGAATAATTTCTCAGATGGTTTGTTTGACTGCAGACTAACCGAAGAGGATGTTTGATCTGACTTTCTATACCAGAATACATTTGTCGGTGGAGGATTCGCAATTGCTTTGCATGATAAACGTACGGATTCACCAATTCGAACATATACAACTTCGTTAGTGGTTACTATTGGAGCAACTAAATAGGAAAATGAACGAAAAATAATGGAAAATGCAGCTACATAAATATAGTAAAAATAATAAAACGTTAACTGGACAAATCATGAAAGTGACTTTTTTGAAATATTTCATATTAAGTAAAGAATGTTTCACTTGACTAACTGATATCAATCCGTGATCAACTCGTAAAAACAAAACTGACCCTCACAAACCAAAATATAGAAATTTATTCTGATGCTCGTTTGTGACTTGATACAGGATGGAGTTTCTTGGAATTCTAGTAAGAAGTCACGACCAGTGAGGTCCATCCAGATGTCACGTGTGACGATGGATGTCCCACCGATGATATTGCTTGTGGTCGTGCTAAATCATGCATTGGTAGAAGTTAGAATTTGTTATAGCTTTTGAATCGGGTCCCAGTGGCTGAATGGTATACGAGCTTACCTTGTAACCAGAAGGTCCTGGATTCAAACGTCAGCGGTGGGTGCCTACTGTCGACGATTCTCAAACTAGGATGAAACGGCGGCTGTCCAGTACTTTCTAGTTTTCAACGGTTCTCTAACTAATATCAACCCGTGATCAACTCGTAAAAACAAAACTAACCCTTACAAACCAAACTAAAAAAAAGAATATTTCAGATACATTTACCTGCTACTGTTCCGACTTGTTTTCATTAGTATCTTTTTACATCATCTGTACTGTTTGCGTATAATCTCTCACTTAACGTTCTTCCACTCAAACATTTGTTAACACTTGTATTCGTTCAAAAAGCATACCAATAGGTCTTTTCCGGGTGGATTCTTAGGATTAATTGCTACTGTACATCTCATTCAATATGTCACTAAAAGTGTTGCATAAAGTGCTTCTGGTGTAGATATGTCAGCTTTTGTTTAATGTTAGACAAGCTTGAAGACCAACAAGTGAAAACCAACAACCTGGCAGAAGAGACAGACTATAAGGAGAGGGCGTCATGTGAAAATACAGAAGAGAGAGGAGAGGAAGATAGCCAACAAACAGCAATAAACGGCCAATCACAATCAATGGATTCAGATTGAAAGAGACACCATCCGTGCCAAAAAAGATACTTTATATGAACCTAGACTTCAAAAAAGACCTATTTAGTGACATCCTCAGAAGGAGAATTTCCACCTCTTTAGGAAGAACTTTCATTGCGGCAACACTAAGAATAGTGTTCTCCAGTCGCCCGCTGATCTGCAGAAACCCAAAGGACAAGATTCCGCACATGACCACTTCTATGTGTATATATCAGTTCACCTGTTGCTGTGGAGCCCGGTACATCAGTCGTTCAACGCGCATCCTGTCTAAAAGGATAAAAGAACACTCTCCAGCGTGGCTACAGAAAGGAAATAATGGCCATATAAGGAGTGCAATAATCGAACATCTCGTCAATACTGGTCATTCCATCTCAACGAACGCCTCCTTCAAAGTAATCTACAAAGTGAAGAACAACCTTCCAAAGACAGTACGATTCCGTCTTCTTTGCATCGCAGAAGCCCTAGCCATCCAGTCGGAGGAACCAGAACTATGCATACAAAAGAAAATTATCCAACCACTTCTACTCGCATGGTAACTACTCCTTTGATTTGACCTAACTTTTCTTTGTTTGTTTGATTTGACCTTACTTCTGTTTGTATGCTTATTTTTCTAACTTAAAACCCTTGTGTAATTCTGTATATTATTTTGTTTCCATGTACAACCCTTGAGCACAACTCATTCATCAAACTATTCATGCCATTACGCAACTCTTATTTAACAATCATTTATGACAACTCATCACTTTTGTTACTATCCTCTTATATGAACATCCAATTCACCTGAACTTACTCCTCTTTAACAATCGTTTTTGACAACTCATCACTTTTGTTACTATCCTCTTATCAACATCCAATTCATCTGAACTTACTAGGTGTATTTTCGTTTGACAAATTTAATGTATACACACACACAAAATAACCATATATATTTGCGATTGTACAGCTATGAAAATGAATTCGCCGAAAAGAGACTCTTCGCTGAACTACTTGTCTTCTGTCTACTAATGTTCAAATGGGAATTGTTCATGAATGAGAGAGGTTACGCATTTCATTGGTCTAAGTACGGATTAGGATGTCAAAACCAGAATCGGATGTACAAGACAGATTGTCACCACTCTAAAATTAGTGCAGAAATCTTCTACACTCATTACAAACAACACAGTCAGGATTTTGGAAGACCACTGTTAAGTTAGACAATCGTTCATTGTGGGTTACCAACTTGAATTGCGTGTCGCTGAGAACTTTCAACAAGCTGACTCCCCACAAAATATCAAATAGTTGGTCAGAAAGACTTGGCAAAAAGAAATCCTAGGCTAAACAAGCAAAGCAATACCCTATACTTCAATGAGCATGCCGAAGTAACCGAAGAAGATGTCAACATCAGTCAGAATCCGATAGACAAGATACTTCAAATTATTATAGAGATCTTCTGCACTACGCATCATGAAGTACAAGATACGGATTCTCACCAGAAATGTGATGCCAGCTAGCGCTGGATTTCCAACCGGCTTTTGGAAACTTTTGTCAACAGCTTCCTCCATCACTGGCTCCATACTGCAGATCAAGTGGCCATCTAGAGCGAATTAGCAACAATAAATTCTGGCAGATGATGAACCAACTAAGAGCCGATCACTAGACGAATATGTAGGAGAAAATAGAAAATGGATCGGGCATATATTGACGGCACTGTCAGATAACATCTAGCTCAATGCAGGCCATCTCTCGGGTGGAACTGAAATGGGAAGCGACAAGTGGGTCGTTCTGAGGGTGGCGTAGATGAAATCATCTGATGAGGAGGAAATGATAGATTATGGAGAATTATGGACCCAGATGAAGAAGACAGCAGAAAATAGAACAAAGTTGAGATATGTTGTCGAAGCCCTATATTCCACTTGGAACCCAATGGAATAATAAGTAATGCATATACATATATATATGGCTTTAACATGAATTTAATAAAGAATTGAAAGCGACCTACAGTAAAATTCAACTGATAGTGTCCTTTGCGTACTACCCATTGGGCTACTTGCATAACAAGAGACATTTGTCCTCCAGTTATCCTTTGCCAGCCTGTGTACTTCATCTTTGAATAGGGTTTCAATTAGTACAGCTGAATTCAATATATTCGTCTCTATATTATAGATATAAAAAGAAATAAAGAAAAAACATATCAGACATTCATCGTTTTGTATTTCTATAAATTCATAATAGTAATTTTAATCAAATGTAGGTTTTAATTATTCCAGCAGTTCAAGTAATATAGGGTGTGCGATTAGGTAGGTTTGACTGCCGACTCCAAAACATTTCCCAGCCTTTGGTTCAACAGAGGTTCAAAACTATTAAACGTGGTAGATGCAGGACAGAGGATTGATGCACCGACGTAGCGCTTGCAGTTATATATCACATTCTGAAGTCACTGCAACACTCAGTTCAATTATTCCCACTACAATTAACTGTAGCTTTCGCAAAGCAATAAATCGAAATAGAAACACGTATCCAGGACGATTATATGTTCCTCCGTTGTTCCTACCGTGGTCAAACCTGAATTAGAAGGTTTTCTCCACACCGAGGGTGCCTCTTCCTCAATATTTCTTTTATTTTGACTATCGGTTGATAATTCCAGTCACAACAAATTATAGTTTGAACCGTTTGTGCCGCAAAGTTTTCCATTCCTACTATTCTGACACTTATTAAGTGATATTTTTCCATTCATTTGGCATGTTGTTTATTCCATGATAAACATTTCAACGAAGTCTTGCTATATCCTTTTGAATGCACGGTGTTTTGTACCAGCAGCCTAGCTTTTACCACCTTGAACTGACTTGTCAAATTTCCTTCCCCGCACTGCATGTATGTAGGTTGGCTAGTGCTACAAGCTTTGCTCAGTCGACAAAACTTTGTGATAGCATTCAGCCCACCAGACGTATAACACAATTTCTATTTTAATTTTGTCACCCTACATCTAGTCTTATTTTAAAGTAAGAGCTATTCACAACTGTAAGGATCTCGGGACAATTTTGTGGAAAGAATATTCTTCGTTCAGGCCAACTTTGCATTGAAAATGACCATATAATAGTATTCTGGAAAGTTCATCTCCAACGCGATACAGCGTTGCCAGCTTGTTCAAGATAATTGAGTGATATAACAAGCGATAATGCCTACTATTGCCTCCAAAATATGCTGTATCACTTCGGTGTTTTCGAAAATGAGAGTAAAAGTAGGCTACTATTCATGAACGCTGTTTGGATGGTTAAAAAACAGTGTGGAATGTAGTCAGCAAGAGGTATGGGAATAATTTGTAAGCCATCTGCTCAATGATTGATTCAATACGAAAAACTTCACACTCTTAAATGAAGGTTAGGCGGCATTTTAATCGGTTACTCATAAAATTATCGTAAATCAAAGATTCACATTTTTACATTTGAATAATGAATTTTAAAGGAGAACATCAGGGTGGTTAGATGCTGTAAAGATTTCTGCTTAGCAGTGCTTTATTCGTAGACAATTAGTCCCCTTTGTGAATATTTACAAAATTCTAAAAGAGCATAATTTTACCAACATGTATAGTGCTTTCGCCTAGGACATTTCACACATTTTGACGATATACATGCAAAAAATAAAAATTGCATCAGTATGGGTATGTAAAATAGCCTGTAAATTTGAGGCCTCTGGTAGATCGAACATTAATGGATTTAAATGTGCTGCCAAATCTTTCACGAAAGATGTGTTCGAGTACACTACGAAAATAGGTGTGGTTAAAACCATTAACAGTTCGATATTGGACCATCTGGTAGAAACCGGCCAGCCACAAAGCCAGACAGCGTGGAAGATGCCTACTCTATCATCATCTACCGGGTGCCTAATAAATTGCCAAAATCATCGAAGCGCCGCATGCTGCAAACAGCAGAGGCTATTGTAATTCGCCTCAAACAACCAGTGCTCTTATAAAATTATATTTGTAAAGTCTCAGCGAAATTGAATTGATTGATTCCAACGTTTCCTGTGTTTGACAATCTGATCCGAACGTCTTCAGGGAAATTAATCGAAATTAACACAACAGAGGTTTATATATAAAACGAACATCTCTGTTATGTTAATTTCGATTAATTTCCCTAAAGAAGTTGGGACCAGATTGCTGAACGGAATGTTGGAATTATTCATTTCAATTTCGTTGAGATTTTACAAATAAAATTTTCTAAATGTCTACTTCTCACTCGGCACTCAATTTTTTCGCAATTGTCCGTTCAAATCTTGATCACAGTTCATATGAACCAGTACTCTGTGTTCAAAAGAAGCAAGTCCAGCCAGCCACTACTACAGCCCTGGCCAGCTTTCAGTAGAGACTCGAAATTCATGAATTTGTATTATTATTTTTCCTAATTTTTCTGACATTCAGCTTATTTTATGTTGATGCTACTGAGCTGTAATCTATCAAAATTATTGATTCGATGATATTTAAACAGCAACATTAATGTTGTTCATAACCCTAATTCATTCATTCACTATAATGTATACATAACTGTAGAGCTTGATGAACAAGAGTTTATCGAAAAGAGTACTCTTTGTTCAGTATCCATTATTTTGGAAAATAGAAGTCGTATGGATGACAAGCCCAAGTGTAATCAGAATATCTGAGACATATTGCGCAGCTAAATCGCTTAGGTCAGATAGGTTACACCATCCTAATGATTTCTCGATATGATATTTTGAATTCAGTTCAGTTTATGCGTATGATGATGCGTCAACAATTTACCGTTGACTAAAATGACTATAAGTATAGAATAACATATTAACGTTAATCCGTTAATATGCAAATGACATTATAGTCATTATAATGAAGGAAAGGGTATTTATTTTGGATGGGTCATTTTAAAAGGGTAAAGTGATTTACTAAAGTGAGATATGAGGGTCACTAAGTAAGGCCTTGGCCACATGCACCTCATTTAAGTAGAAAATAGGGAAAACGATTAAAAGACCAATAAAGTGGCAAGGATAAATAATAGACTCAGACTGTATACCATAAGTATTATTTCATGTTCTTATGAACATTTATATTAAAAGAGGAAGTCGTCATTTACGACTTTGGGAACCTGAATAATGTAGATCAATTTATGTGACCCACATAACATAGACAATACAGCTAGTGCCATATGCAGAATAGTATATATTGCTGACTTATATGCTAAGTCGGAAAGCATTAACAGCAAACAATATCACTGTACATAACCAAACGAAATTAACATGTCAAAGACCGAACACAATTTCAGTAGTTTGAAGTGTTGATCTGCAGCAGTTCAATTGTTTATAGCTTTGATCACAAGACGACGTCAGTTGGAGAAAGAACCATTGAAAAACCAGCAACGATTAATAAAAATGGCTACGTCATCCAAATTTGGACTGTTCAGCAGTATACAACTAGGTGTTAGTGAGGATCAGAAAAATTTTCAGCCTGATGCTTGAAAGAACAGTGGTTTCTGATAACTTGTGACTTTTGAATATCTTGAATTTCCAATTTAATCCTCACCCTAGGCTCAAAACTTAGATATCTGATTGTAGAATTTCATCATGAGCTGACATTAGTTAGAGAACCATTGGAAAACCTGAGAGTACTGCCAGACAGCTGTTTTGGTCCTAGTTTGGGACTCTTCAGCAGTACGAACCCACCGCCATGTTTCGAACCCAGGACCTTCTGGTTACAAGGCAAGCTCGTGGAAATTTAAGTGACTGGAACTCGATCCAATGGCCAGAGCATGAAATCTAACTTCTGTCGATTCACGACATAGCCCGACTATAGCTTATATCTTCGGCGGCTAGCATTTGTTCTAACACCCAACCGGCTGCACCCTACCGGTCACAACTTCTCAGTTGAACCCCAGGTAACTACCTACCTGAATGGGGCAAGTCGCTAGTGAGCATCTCATTGATATTCAAGTGGTGGCTTGCAGGGATTTGATTGGTTAGGCCAGTGGGTGCGTAGTGATTAAGAGTCTCAAAACTAGGAGGAAATAACTGTCTGGCAGTACTTCCAGGTTTTCCAATGGTTTTCTAAATAATGTCAGCTCATGATGATTTATTATTTATTAATTAATTTATTATTTATTTATTAATTAATTGTTTTTTATGACTTTTAACCTCCTCTTTTTACTCCTCTGTACCACAAAAAGATGAAATAAAATAACAATTTCTGACTGGTACAATTTTTATGTAAAACTGTGTATTAATGTAGAGTCAACGATGAGGAATTCATTGATGTAAAAATAGAACTTGTGCACTGTGCGTCGGTAGAACAGTGATTAAGACTCCCGCCAACCATGCACATGGTCCGAAGTTCGATCCTCTGCTAACGAACACCTGATATCTACAGTCCGCCTGTAAAATTTAGGCTACCGATATCCATGCTGAAAATTCCATACTTGTACCAAAATACAGTGTGGAATCAAGCTGTAATCAACAAAAAAAATAATTCGCTTTATTCCAGAAACAGTACCAATGATACAGCAGGGAATTTTTCAGCACTCAGTACAATATTGCATCTGATTTACTCAAAAACGACAACAACAAAAAAATTTCAAAATAAACATTACATAATAATAATAAAACGATTGTTACAGCAGCTACATAGCAAATTACTGTATGCAATACGGAGAAAAATATGCATAAAGTACAAAACTGTAGTAATAATAGTAATAACAACTGAAATAAAATAGCAAAGTTATAATTAAACGATAGAAAGTGTGACACCATAAAATACAGAAAGATGAACAATAAAAGTGTCGATTCACTTTGCTAATTACATAGTAACTTCTTATATGTTTCACGTCTAACAGAGTCTTCGTCACATAAAGTACTGGCTAAATAGGGTATTGTAGAATGTCTGTACTTAGTGTTACGAGCATATAAATTTTTATATTGACTTCTCGTCCTACCTGATGAGATACAGGTGGATAGTTGTGAATAAAGGGGGTGCAGAGGGTCTGACATTACAGCCTTGGCCCATTTTGTACAAGAATTTATGTGTCTCTTGACTATAGTATTGGCGAGCTCACGCAGTGGCATACCACAAGCCCTACTCACAGCATTTAATACTCTTCTTAATATGACATATATAATGTATAATTCGATTATGGCTAATATTTATTTTGATAAATTCCCACAGTGTTATACAGGAATATTTATTGATGATGAAGAATATTCTTTTCAATAATTGCACCTCTACAGATTCTTACGATTATAAAATATAATATTTGTTGCCGTTACAATAAAGGCCAGTTATATGGCGGATACATTTTTAACGTAGAATTACAGATCAGCAGTTATGGGGTGTCAAAATAAATAGTCGTATTTGTGTAACAAACGTGCTGGTAGGCTGAAATCGATTACATAATATTGTAAAATGAGAGACAATGATCGACTAAACCTTAACTTTGTATCCAAAAAGAACACATCCAGACGCTTTCGCTAGCTTGACCAAACTTGGATGGAAGATTCTTCTTCACACCAAAAGTGTTCCTTTCCCTTAACCCTCTTGGTATTTTTAATTTGCTTATTATTACAAATATTATTAGCACAATTATGATTGTTATTATTATTCGTCATAATTTACGCCCTTCATTCATTTGAGAGGCATGCGAGAGGTACTGGGATCGTTTCCCAGGTACCCCAACTCACCTCGTCTCCATCCTCGAGGCAGTGACAACCATTTGTGCGTTAGTTGCACAACGGTCAGGACACTCGCCGATCATGCGCATGGCCACAGACGCACTCTGTTACCTCGCTAAGCCAGATTTATTGTTGGTAAAGAGGAAAGTTTGGGCATGAGGCCAGCAACCCCATCCTGTAAAAATTAATACTGCTATAGAAACTTCAAGCCACTGGCTTGAAGCCCTATGTTCCAGTGGGGAATGTGAAGGAAAAAAAATAAAGAAATTATTATGCAAACATTCCCTCAATACTATCGAATTTTAATTCATACCATCCGGACTTATTATTAGTGATATTATCTCTTTTCTCAATATATGACTTCCTCCACCTGTTTCATTTCACACTTTCGTTATTTCATTATGAACCTCTCATAACAGTCTTACTATCTCCTGTTTAACTCAGACCACTTTGTACTAGCCACTCCACTCACCTGACACTTTTTATAACCGTGAAATGACTTGCCAATTTTCCTACCCCACACTCTACAAATCTATTATGACTAATCACCACCGTTGTCTCCCGTCTTACAATATTTTATAATCGATTTCAGCCTAAAACGCTTGTCACACAAAAACGACTATTTATTTTGACACCGCATAACACTAATCTGTTATTCTACGTTAAAAAATGTATCCGCCGGATAACTGACCTCTATTGTAACGACAGTAAATATTATATTTTATAATTGTAAGAACCTGAAGAGGTGCAATTATTGAAAAGAATATTCCTCGTTCAGATTGACTTCTAATTCATAATATGGGAATATTTCACACCATTAAATATATAGATACATATAATTCATGGATTTATAACTGTAGAGGCCAAGAAAGAAGTTATGCAAATAAACTGTACCCTCGAAAATCATCTCCTTTCAGCTACACTGTGGGGATATTAAGTATTCAAATGTTGGTTTGCAGTCTACTTTAATTAAATATCATAACATACTTGTAAATAAAATTCTTGGGTTGTGTACATTTTCTTTATTTGGTTCGTGAAGTCAGACAAATTTTGAGTTCGTTGTTCGCAGTAAATGACACAAGATCATTCTGTTTATCTCTGATTTCAATCCACCAATCTGCTTTTTATTTAAGCTGTTTCGTTTTTATTATTATGTTTTTTTTTTTGTTTTCGATTACTGCTTGATTCCACACAGTATTTTTGGTATGGAATCTTCAGCATGGATATCGGCAGCATAAATTTTGCAGGCCAATCATAGATATCAAGTGTTCGTCGGCAGGGGGTCGAACCTCGGACCATGTGCATGGTTGACGAGAGTCTTAACCACTGTGCCACCGATGCACCTTTACCTAGAAATCGTGAACAAACTGTCTGAGTGATTATTCAGATTGATACAGACAGGGGAATTCTAGTCTTACTTGATATTCTTCTTCCATGCTGATCCATCCAGTATACAGCTGGTGGAGGATTGCCTTCTGCTCTACATTGAGCATAACTTTGTTCTTCGTATAGCACAATCCATGGATCTTCTGAAAAATCCGTAATTACAGGAGCGTCTGTAGATTTCAGTAGAAAATTTGAAGAATAATTAGTGTGCACGTGCATAATATGAAATTAAAATATCAAGAAATATGTATGGCGTTTGGATTGTCGTCTTAAAAAATTTGAAAGATATCTACGTACATACTTTGTGAGTCGGTGGCACAGCGGCAGAATACTCGCCAATGTTGCATTTGTTTCGGGGTTCGATCAAAGGCCGATGCATTCCTCCACTCCTCTAAGCCAGTAATAAGACTAGCAAAGAAGGAAGGTTAGGCATGACGCTAGCAACCCCACCGCATGAAAGTAAACGCCACTTCTAGTAAAACCTCATGGGCCTCTAGCTTAAAGCGCTTTGTTCCACTGGGGACGTAAACGAATAAAGTTATAAAAAAATAGGTAAACAGAGTAAGAGTAGGCCATTCAAATGGATTTTGCTCAGATCTTATTAATGAAGCCAAAACCCTAAAACTCCACGTGGAAAACCGGGAACTCTATGCTCAATAACGTTCTATTTAACCAATTTTTCACTACGAAGGAGTTTGTGTTAACTCTTATTTTCTGAACTATCGTAAAGAAAGTTTTCTTTCTCAATAAAATCATCTTCAGAGGCTGTACAGTCGTATTTACATTTACCAAAAGTGTATAGTAGCCCATTATCGAGTAACGGAGTAACACGATTGATATATTTACTCACAAGAGCTTTCGAAAGTAAAAATGAACGTTAATAATTACGTAATACTCAACAGCACAAAGGAAGGAAGCGTAAGAAGTCTGAGGGAATTTCAATTGTTATTAGGTAAGAAGAAACGTAGTTGAGTTACTTTTCAACAAGTGTAAAAAGGGTGAGAAATTGTACAAAAAGAACATGTGAGTGTGATAATAATGGATTAAATAATAAAGTTAAAGCAAAATAATAATAAATAAAACAAAATAAAAAGTGTACAGGGAACGGCTAATGAAGAGTTTAAGTCCGTGGTAGAATAAGAGTCTAGACAAACGTTTTCTATAAAATGAGTTCGGGGTCTATGAATGAATAATCAATGCCTCCGCCATACGCAAATGCCGAAACCTAACGATCTTTGTACCATTTAGACTAACCTTGTAAACAATCTTGAAAGATGATTCTAGTGGATCTGCATGCTTTGAATTCATCAATTGCTCGAGAGTTGATCTGGTAACTGTCTTGCATTGTCTTTTCCCTATGCATGCTGGGCAGTGTTCACAAACGAGTTACTGTACATTTTGGTAAATATAAGTACAACTGTAGAGCTTCTGAAGTTGTTTTCATTGATAAAGCAACCTTTCTTCGCCGAACTGTCCTTTTGAACAAAGCAAGAACAACTGTAGTTTGTGCAGAATAAAATGCTATCATCATTGTTTATTTCGTTGGCTTCTCATCATCTGCTTACAGCCCAAATAAATTATGAGGTGTACATACAGAAAAGTTTTAACATACTTGCAAATTTCACATGTTGTCAGTTGACAGAAAGTTCCGCAATTAGTACACAGTGCTCAGAAAATTGCGCCTATATAGTTTTACACAGGCAGTTTAAGTTAAAACAAAATACATATATGCATATAATGGTAAAGGAGTTACATAATAAAGAAGAGATGTGCGTTAGATGCACAGTGACTAATAAGTTAGGTAACAATATACTGAATTGAACTCAAATCACAGAAACAGGAGACAAGCAAAATTACAGATTGTAAAAGGGAGGGTGAGGTTAAAGACAAAGATTACGTAATCAGATGAGACAAAAAAACATCCAGTTACCAAGGCAAGGAAAAACCAATAACTGCTTCTTTCTGAACATATAGATCTGGTTTCAAGCGTTTGATAGAAATTGCTTCGGCAAACTTAAGGACAATACAGCTGTTTTGTCTGTTGATAATTTTGAAGGATTTCTCGATTTCCACCTCATGACCCGTGTCGAGGAGATGTCTGATAATAGCGCTACTGTAAGAGTTTGTTCCCTTCAGACGTAGGTTTTTCGGCACATGTTCAGAAAATTGAAGGTGTGCCCTTCTTTCTGTTCTTTTAATGTAACTGCTCCCGCAGATACACGTAAACTTGTATACACAGTTGGAGTTAACATGAATAGGATATCTATCGAACAACATGCTCTTTGGTGCAGTCAAAAGTCGATAGATACCCTTCTCATGTTAACTCCAATTGTGTATACAAATTTACGTGTGTCTGCGGGATACATTTATTTTGTTTTAACTTGAACTGCCTGTGTAAAACTATATAGGCGCAATTTTCTGAGCACTGTGTACTAATTGCGGAACTTTCTGTCAACTGACAACATGTGAAATTTGCAAGTATATTAAAACTTTTCTGTATGTACACCTCATAATTTATTTGGGCTGTAAGCAGATGATGAGAAGCCAACGAAATAAATGATGATACCATGTTATTCTGCACAAACCACTGTTGTTCTTGCTTTATTCAAATTCATCAAGGAGAATAAATGCTTGATGTTTCTCAAGAATTGTCTTTTATTATCTATGCTGTTATTTTAAGTTTTGCAGCCCGATTTCATTCCATTGTTCTCATGTCACCTATCAGTCATTTTCCAAATGATTATTGATCACCTACCTGACTAGTGCTCATCTCTCTCAAATAAGTAAGATTTTATTCACTGCGATTTCCCGTTCACTTTGATTTATTTTGTTACAAGCTGACAGGAACCTCTGACCTTAAGTGTTAACTAACAACAACATGACATAGGAATTATACAGTGTCAGACGTCGTCCAGAAGGGCAATACAAGCTTCACATCTTACAAAATCTCAGCAACTAGGTTAAACTTTAAGCACCAGTAATTATCAATAGAGTGCGACCGCACCAATGACCTTGAAACGGTCATTAAGCAAGTTAGTGGAACCTGACAAATAATGTTATCATCATCAATCAAAAATATGCTCATCGAAGTGTTATGTTATTAAATGGGACATTTGGCAAGTTTCAGCTTAGGTTTGGGAAAGATTAACTTATGCTTTAAGCCAAAGAAAAGATAGGCTTAGGTTAACCTAATAAAAGGCGGTATTAGAGTTGGTTCGAGTTACATTACAGTTAGTTTAAGGATATTTTCACGTAAGGGTTAGGTGTAGGTGAGATAAGGATTACTGACAGGTTTGGGAGATCTAAATAATTACATAGAATGTGGTCAAGTTACTCTGTTGATATAAGAATAGAATTTGTGCACTGTGGTATAATTGGATTTTGGATAAAATTTATTTGGATAACCTCTCACAGTATTAGATGGTTGGAGGCAATCGGCAGAAAGCCTTGGACCTAGGTTTCGTGCTAGTTGGCACTCGCCAGCAAGGCGTATCTGCAACCTTGAAGGAACTCATGTCCCTTCTGAGATTCGAACTCGCGTCACCCAGTGCTGCAGTCAATCTCGGGCCCGAATAGCTCAGTGGTAACGTCCTTGACTTCAGTGCTCACTGGGTGACGCGGGTTCGAATCTCAGAAGGGACATGAGTTCCTTCAAGGTTGCAGATACGCCATGCTGGCGAGTGTCAACTAGCACGAAACCTAGGTCGAGCAAGGCTTCCTTTAGCCGATTTCCTCCGACCATCTAATACCATCACATCAATGCGCACCGTGATGGCGAGCTAGCTAGAATGGTGGTCACATTACAACCTGACTGATAGAATTCAGTCTACACCAATTAAAGGACTAGATGCATCACACTAGTTACTAGTGTCAAACCAAAATAACCTCTCACAGTGTTATACAGTAATATTTGCTGATGACCACGTTTCGAGCACAACTGATTGCTCAGTAAATATTACTGTATAACATTATGAGACTTTATCAAAATAAATTTTATCCACAATGGAGTTACACCCTGTTGATACTACAACCTAAAACTGAGAGCTATTTTTATCACATGTGACAGAATAGTATCCTCTGTAAGACTTCGCAACAGTTTTTATGAATATTTTTCATAAATACATGTGTAATCCAAATATAAAAATGCCTCCATCTTGTGATTGGTACATTCGGGGTCATTTGCTGATTGGTAGTTAGTGAGGCTTAAGGTTAAACTTTGCCATCTCATATAGTTCAACCTGAAGCACAAATCTCCCTAAATCTATTTCAAAATATTGTTACAAGGGAAAGCCGAGAAATAGGATGTACAGTTAATTAAAGTACACAAAAACTATGAGGCCGGATAACACATCACATTCTTTATATCAACAGATATTTTCAATCCAGGAACTTTAATGGCAGAGAAGTAGAAATATATATATAACGTTTTGTAACTCACAGCGAACACTGACTTCATAGTCGTCGGAAATACTGGATCCAACTTTGTTCACTGCCTTACATTTAATCTTCATACCGTCATACAAACGGGATATTTGTAGACTGATTAGACTAAGTGTCATTCCGTAAGGAATTACTGACGTGTGATAAGAGGATGGCTTCCTATCCTGAAATATTAATCAAAAGAGATAACATTAGTATAATGATTTCAATGTTGGTATAGTAAAAGCAACGTTGTAGACTTCACCGCCCAACTAGGCGATATCTTCAATGCATACTTCAGTTTGAAGTGGACTTTTAGAATTCTCCACAAGTTTATAAATCATCTTTCCCTGTGGGTGACTTTGAACGTGGTTGGATGATTTTGTGGGTTTTCACAACCTCTAGGCTATTTATATTCGCATTGGCGTTGATTGTTTCCTTGACTTGAAGTTTACCTCTTGGTGTGTGCGTTCACCTTATAATGTCTTCTCTATTACCTTTCAAACAATGAAGTAGTTTGCAGTTGATGGGAACCTGTGAAATAGAATGATGGCATCATTTTTTACTGCAAATCTGGTCTTTCTTTCTCTATCAAAATTTATCAAGAGAACCAAATGTATGATACTTCTTTTATATCGATCGATAAATTCTGTTTATTATTTGATGACTCACAGGAATGCTAGGCTTCTAAAAATTCTTTGGCACTCCTAAGGTTTCCTCTGTCTTATATTTGAACATTGTCGCAGTCAAATCGATATCCGTGGTTGCCTGTGTGTAGCGATATGGGGGAGTAGTTGTCATGTCTTTTGACGGCTAGTTTATGTATCATGGATACGAAGACAGTGTTCTGTTTTTCGCAGTTGGTACAATATAGTTTGTAGACGATGTTGGTTTTCATCTTCTTTCGCTTTTGAGTCTTTTGGCTGACACATAACCAGCTCAGCAATGTGATTTCGTTGGTGTGTGTGCTACATCATTTCCTAAAGGTTTGAAGAGTCTGGCATTGATTTCTGAGATGTACTTTGTATATAGTAGGGCGATTTCCCGTATGCTTTCCTTGGGAGCCTTTGGTTTGATAGGTTGACTTGGGGGTAGGTCACTTTTGATGAATGCGCTTCGGTGGCAAAGTGGTTAGGACTCTCGCCCACCATGCACATGGTCGGAGGTTCGAGCCCATGCCGACGCACACCTGATATCTATGGTCGGCCTGTGTAATCTGGGCTACCGATATCCACGATGAAAATTCCATACTTGTACGAAAAATACAGTGTGGAATCAAGCTGTAATCAAAAATAAAAATAAATAAATAAAAAATATCCACTCTTTTGGAAAACGTCTTCGAGTTATTCACATAACAAGTAACCTAGAGGGTATGAAACCACACAAAAACAACCAATCACGTTCAAGGTTACCAGGAGAGACGATTTATAAACTCGTGGAGATATCAAAAAGCCACCTTCAAATTGAACTACGCGCCGAAGATGTTGCCTAGTAGAGCAACGAAAACCTCGCAAATGAACCATTCAGCTCAGGGAACACAGTTACATCAAAACCACCCACCTGAGTTGCAAACATTCTCCAGTATACTTCTGAAATTGCGATTTACACACTTCTCGTTAGTAGAACAAAACGCCTTTGTCGAATCGAATTTCAAGTTATTCATATTTGCTTAAGTATAGAAACTAAATATAACACTTGTAGGTCAAAATTCACACTGAATTTTAAAAAAGTACACGTAACGGCATCCATGTGGATTGTTTTTGTCCTCGTTAAAATACTTTGGCCACGTTTATGTTGTTTCATGGTAATATTGAGGAAAATGACCTTTTAGAAACATGCTGAGTGACGTTTAATTAATTCAATAAAATATATATTTTTGTGATAGTGAGAAAGGATAGAAGGAATCAACTCGACAGGAGTTGAAATACCGTTGATTGAATAAAACTTTGGTAGTTATACTTAGAGGAATCAATCGCGTGAAGTATTCCCATATCATGAATTAAACGTCACTGTGAACGAAGAATATTCTTTTCAATAACTGCACCTCTTCAGGTTCTTACAATTATAAAATATAATATTTGTGATCGTTACAATAAAGGCAAGTTATCCGGTGGATACATTTTTAAGGTAGAATAATAGATTAGTGGTTATGGGCTGTCAAAAAAGCAGTCGTATTTAAGTGTGACAAACGTGCTGGTAGGCTGCAATCGATTATAAAATATTTCGGTGAAATGGGAAACAATGGGGGTGATTAGTCATAATATATATTAACGAGTTGATCACAGATTGATATCAGTTAGAGAATCATCGAAAACCAGCATGGAGTACTGGACAGCTGCTGTTTCATTCTAGTTTGGGAATCATTGACAGTACGCACATACTGAGATTCAAATCCAGGACCTTCCGGTTGCAAGACAAGCTCGTATATCATTCAGCCACTGAGACCCGATTCAATGGCTCATGAATTCTACCTTCTACCAATTCGTGATTTAGCGCGACACCAACCATTGTCATTGGTGGAATATCCATCCACACACGTGACATCTAATTGGACCTCACTGGCCACAACTTCTCACTAGAACTCACGGAACTCCAACCTGTAGCAAGTCACTAGCGAGCATCAGATTAATTGTCTATAGTTTGGTTTGTAAGGGTTTGTAATGTTTTTACGAGTTGATCGCGGATTGATATCAGTTGGAGAAGCACTGAAAACCAGGGTTCGAATTCCAGTGGGTGCGTACTGCCGATGATTCCCAAACTAGAATGAAACAACAGCTGTCCAGTACTCCCTGGTTTTCAATGGTTCTCTAACTGATATCAATCCGTGATCAACTCGTAAAAACATAACTAACCCTTACAAACCAAACTATAGAACATAACAGATTTGTAGTGTGAAGTAGGAAAAAATTGACAAGTCAGTACAAGGTTATATATGTCGAAACAAAGTTCATTTTTAACGGTTCGAAAAAATTCGGGCATTGGTTATATGATATTTATTATATTTTTAATTATTTTTTTGATTACAGCTTGCTTCCACACTGTATTTTTGCTACAAGTATGGAATTTTCAGCGCGGATATCGGTAGCCCAAAATTCGCAGGCCAACCATAGATATCAGGTGTTCGTCGGCAGGGGATCGAACCTAGGACCATGTGCATGGTTGGTGAGAGTCCTAACCACTGTGCCACCGACGCACACATAAAGGTTTTAAAAGGTGTCAGGTGAGCGGCTAGTACAAAGCGGAATGTATTAAAGAGGAGAGAGTAAGACTGCAGTGAGAGGTTCATCATGAAAAAAGGAATGTGTGAAATGAAACAGGTGAAGGAAGGCATATATATTGAGAAAAAAGATAATAATGACAATAATAATAGCCTTAATCTATAACAGTACTTGCGATAAAGAATGGAATTTTTAGCATTTCACTACATACGGTATTGCATCCAGTTAATACATTAACAATAAATACAATTCTACATAGATTAAGGGTAATCTCAGTTAGTTTTGACAACAACAAATTACCATGTCGGTAGTAAAGCCAAAAGTAAACTGAGTGTCTGAAGGTGCTACAAAATTAGGCGGTAGCATGTTTACTGGCGTAAACAGAAGAAAGAAACAAAAGGAGCACATAACAGAGAAAAAAAGAGAGAGAAAAGGAAAAGAAAGAAAAAATGTTGTACCTATGAATTGGAAAGACGAGATCCAATTGTTCTACTGACTATTTAATAAGTTATAGGTTTCACGCCTAATGCTTTCTTAATCGAATAAAACACGAGCTAAGTAGGGTATGGCTGAGTTTTGTACTTACTAGTGGGAGCATATAGTTATTTATATGGGCTTCTGGTTTTTCCTGATGAGATACAAAGGGAGAGTTGTGAATGAATTGGGTGTTATGAGCTAGATAAAATGTATTTGGCCCATTTTTCACATGAGTCTAAGTGGCACGCTGCTTACCGTGCTGACAACCTTTAACATCCTGCATAATAGAGTATAGTCTTTCTTCAGCAGCTCAGGAAAAACCAAAGGGGAACAATAGAGAATAATAGGCAGGATGCAAGTGTTAACGAATTGTAGGAGTAAGTGTTGGATTATACCAGAATGTCGTAACTTCTTGATGTGAAAGGCAAGACGGAATATTTTCTTAGAAGTCATCAAGATATGAAATGACCAGGAAAGATCAGCAGATAGAATGACGCTTAGGTATTTTATTTCCGACTTAGTTTTATTTGAGTGCCATCAATATGGCTAATAATAAGTTCTGATAGTATTAGTGGAAAATTCGATAGTATTGAAAGAATGTTTGCTTGGGGGGCATATACTATGACGAATGATATTAATAATTGTAATTATAAGCAAAGAAAGAAAAAAAACGATTAGGTTTAGGGTGAAGAAGCACTATTGGTGAGAAGGAAAGTCATTCACCTGACACTCTTTATAACCTTGCATTGACTTGTCAATTTTGCTACCCTACTGCATTCTACAAATCTCTGATGACTAATCACCACTATCGTACCCCCATTTCACAATAATTTATAATCGAATTCAGCCTAGTACATTTGTCACACTCAGAAAACGACTATTTATTTTGACACACCATAACTACGACTCTGTTATTCTGCGTAAAAAAAATGTATTCACCGAATAGCTGGCTCAAATTATTGTTACGACAACAAATATAATAATTATTTTATAACTGTAAGACCCTGAAGACAAGAAATTATTGAAAAGGATATTCTTCGTTCAGATTGACTTTTAGTTATACTTTTGTTGCAGTACTTTTTGATGGTTCTTTGTTCTATGGAAGTGGATGGGTTACAGGGTAACCTTTATGCTTTTAATACCAATACTAAAAATGTTTGAGCATATCTATTTGATTAATGTTTATCATCAGGCTCACTCAAACCCCTCCTCCTTTTGCACTGTCATGAACAGACGGTTGATCGTAGCCAGAGAAATTAAACATTTTTCAGATAATAAATAAAAGTTCGTTTGAAGCTACTCACCTCTTTCGTGTGGATCCATTCTGGTGTATTTACAGAAGTCTGTTGTGAAATAATTGAAGTTGTAGAGAGTCCTGAATTATTTCTTAATGGATTGAATGACCAAATCAATTGAGGAGATGGAAAACCATGTAAACTTTGACAAGTCAAATTCAGGTAATCACCTTCCAAAAAATATTTCTGCATTTCTAACTGTTCACCTCCATCAAGTGAGTATTTATGACTGAGAGTAATTACAGGCTTCTTAGGCGGAACTAAAAAAGACAGTAAAGTCAAGAGAGGAAATTTTCTGCATTAATTGTTTATTACAAAATAACAACAATTATAACAAATAACGACATATTCAGCTTTAGAAATGCATCCAGAAGAAGCTGTGGAACTCCTGTTTCATCCAAAGTTCGATTTTCCATTAGTCAGTAAAAAGGTTATTGAAATAACTGATAGACAACTCAGGTCACCGATTTAACTATGCAAGACTAAGCTAACAAATTTACCACATTTTACAGAAGTTCACTTAATCGTTTGATAGAATTCGTAAGGGGAAACATATTTATATTTACTCTAATGAAAATGTAGGACATCATCATACCCTTCTGATATGACGACTATAGTAGGTGTTATTCATTTACATTCTGTGAATCCATTTACCTTTCTTAGAATTCCTCAATCTTCAGCAACAAAGCTTATATCATGGAAATGCTTGGGTATAATTTGAAGGAGGAGGCTTCAAATATAACGAATATTATTGTTTTCAGGTATTGGTTTTGTATGGATTTTATTTGATTGTATGGAGGATTTCATCATGAGCTGACACATCAGTTAGAGAACCACTGGAAAACCTGGGAGTACTGGACAGCTGTTGCGTCCTAGTTTGAGATCATTCAGCTCGAGCTCAAATCGGCAGAAGTTAGAATTCAAGACTCATTGGATCAGGTCCCAGTGGCTCAATGATCTACGAGCAAGTCAAAAGAAAGTTACAATATTCATGGGAAGACTGATTAGTAATATCTGAGTGAAGTGAAATATGAAACAGACAACACCTGCTTCCCGACTTCTCCATCCAACCAACACTATCCTCCACCAATCATCTATCCTTCAAGTTTAATACAACAACCTACGTGTCTCACCAGAATCATTTCCCTCTCACTTCTCCACATATTCGCTCCCACCCACCTGCCCTCCGACAACTTCTCATCCTCCTCCTATGCCTACTCCTACTCCTCCTGTTACACCTCTTCATCAACATCATCGTCATCATCATCATCCCCTTCATGAATCCTTGCAATCGCCATCACACTAGGCGATGTTTCAGCACTTCCTGCCCTCCAATCAATCCACGACTATCAGTCAGAGTCGGACTGTGAGTAGAGGTATCATTTTATGTATCCGTGTGTGTATGTGTGTCAATGGGTCTGTCAGCTTCTTGGTCTTCGCCTTGTAACCAGAAGGTCCTGGGTTCGAACCCCAGTGGATGCGTACTGATGAAGAGTCCCAAACTAGGACGAAACGGTTCTGTAACTGATGTCACCTCATGATATTATTGTTTGCCTCGTTATGTCTGCCCTTAGTAATGTGTGCGAGCAGTGCTGAACGTATGCATTAGCTAAACTTGTTTATTACTCCACATTTACGCTTGTAGGCAATTCGCTGTACTGCTAAATACAGTTTTATGTAATTATTATCCTCTTTGGTTCCGAAAGGAACATAGGGCCTTTACAACACTTCGTCCTGTTTCCTCCTTTCCTCTTCAGCTGAGCCTACGATTGCCGATATCATATCCTACACGCACAGCCTCCTCCATGCTACTGTATTATGGATAAGATTTTATTTTGATAAATCACACACTGTTGTACAGTAATATTCACTAATGAACACCTCTCGAGCACAAATTATTGCCACTTATAATCATATCAAGCTACTAACACAACTTTCTTGCTTCATTTATATACATGAGTGGAATTGACAATTAGACATTTGAATAAAAATCAACATGGGATAATGTACATTCAGAAATAATAATTTGAGTGTTATCAATCAATAACAATCAGATGGGAAATAAGACGAGTGTTGTTTTGTGTCAAAATAAGTAACTTGTTAAAATGTTATGCCGTAGGTGAATTGATACAGAATTTTGAGATTATGTATTATCCTCTTCTAATTTGCCCTGCGGTAATAATATCTTCCATATATCTGGTATTTTTGTTGAGTCATTTCTGCTGCACGTGTTGGGTGTAGACTCAATGAACTAGGATTCAGTTATCAATCTCTCTCTCCACCTACATAGATTACCTTTTAGAATTTTAACCCTATCCCACCCTATTGTGTGATTGTGTGTTGATGCTTTCAGTGCAATTGCTGAGCTTTTTTCTAAATTACTTATCTTCTCGGGGTCAACCATTCTCACCTTAGCTAAATTCTTAAGTTCTGGCAATCTGATTATCCTCGATCTACTAGTTGGACCTATGTAGTTGATCTCACAGTCATTGCAGGGTACCCTGGGACGACCTATGTGTCACTTGTCATTGGGATTCCACTTGAGGCCCTGGCGCATGAAGTCATTCAATGGCTACTTCAGTGTACACCCGATCCATCTACTTTATATTCGACATATTTGGTGCTAATTCTTTCTGGCACGCAAGCCATTTGATCCTCAGCATGGAGCCTGCGAAGGCAGCTGTTGTCAAAGACAGTAATTTCCTTTTAATTCACATGGAATGCAACCCATTATCTAGCTTCAACGGATTTTCACAGATGAATAAATGCATTCCCTCTATGACTCAGTTTTAAACATAATTGTATTTCTAATCCTTATACTTACAGCATAGGATAAATATTAATGTAATAGTGATTAAAATAGTGTGTCATTCTAAAGTAAAAGTGAACTCACCTTGAACAATAAGGTATCTACGCAATGTTATTGTTTTAACACCGGCTAGAATTGCACATTGATAATTTCCACTATGTCGTGATTGAGCATTAGTCACAATTAGAACACCAGTTGGATAAACTTGTATATCGACTAAATGAGTTTGTTCTCTAGGTATTAAGGGAATAAAGACAGAGTAAAAGAATGACTCTTCTGAAATAGAAAATAACCCGAACTGAGTTTGGTTCCATAGAATCAAAATAAATTATTTTTTTATTTACAGCTTGATTCCACGCTGTATTTTTCGTACAAGTATGGAATTCTCAGCATGGATATCGGTAGCCTAAATTTTGCAGGCCGACCACAGATATCAGGTGTTCGTCGGCAGGGGATCGAACCTCGGAGCATGTGCATGGTCGGTGAGAGTCCTAATCACTGTGCTACCGACGCACATTAAGGTGCGATAAGTGCTCACATGTAATTAATTAAAATGGAATAGGCCGATGGAGACTGTTCCTTGCATTATTTTACTTCAAATTTACTTAACCAGCTCGTTAATATTCTGGTTGACATGGACTAATGTGAAAAAAATGGGCTAAATCCATTCTATCTATCTAACTCACATCACCCTTTTCATTCACAACTCTCCCCTTGTATCTCATCAGTGAAAACCAGAAGCCCATATAGAAAACCATATGCTCGCACTAGTAACTACAAAATCTCAATCATAACCTACTTAGCTTAGCTCGTGTTCTGTGCGATTAAGAAAGCATTAGGCGTGAAACCTATAACTTATTAAATAGTCAGTAGAACAATTGGATCTCGTCTTTCCAATTCATAGGTACAACATTTTTTCTTTCTTTTCCTTTTCTCTCTCTTTTTTTCTCTGTTATGTGCTCCTTTTGTTTCTTTCTTCTGTTTACGCCAGTAAACATGCTACCGCCTACTTTTGTAGCACCTTCAAACACTCAGTTTACTTTTGGCTTTACTACCGACATGGTAATTTGTTGTTGTCAAAACTAACTGAGATTACCCTTAATCTATGTAGAATTGTATTTATTGATAATGTATTAACTGGATGCAATACCGTATGTAGTGAAATGCTGAAAATTCCATTCTGTATCGCAAGTACTGTTTTGGTATAAAGCAAATTATTGTTATTATTATCATTATAATAGCTAAAGTGCTGTTCTCAAAAGTCAGTGAAATGCCCATAAGGTAGCTTGTTTATATCATTATGATTTTATAACTCTTAAATTTACTTCTTATGTCATTTGGTGGTTGATGATTAGCAATCGAATCCAGGATGTGCATTTCATCCCATCTGAAAGTCGTCACCTGGATTTATCTGCGCTCCTCAGTGAGTGATGGTGTTCCCACTGAGCTTTGTGGCCCAACTGGCTTAGTGCATTATGCCATGACGTTTGAAACTATGGTCACTGAGTTCGAGCCTCGGTTGGAACACCATCACTCACTGGGGATTGCAGGCAGATCAATGCGACAAGTCCTACGTAGGACGAAATGCGCATTCTAGAGCCCACTGCTAATCACTATATAACAATTAAATTCATGTTGCATCACCAGATATCATCGAAGAATCTGCACATGCAATAGACATGCTCACCTAATATCGTGCACTTTGATCCAATCATTCGACGAAAAAACCACTTAACCGTACACATTTAACGTAAATTAAAGATAAGGATATTTTCTGTTTACCGAAGTCTTTTTAATTTTTGTCATAAGGCAGCTTGAAAATCCTCATTGAGTCATATGAAAAAGAGAAGACTTTCAGCGAAGAGACTCTTTTCAACGGCTAATTCATTCAAATATCTGTACAATCATATTTATATACAATTATTTGTGTGTGTGTGTACATCAAGTTTAGTTAATTCGTCGGGTAATAAAAGAATGACGTAATATAGAAACAAGGTTAATTGGATAGCAACTAAAGTAAGATTTAGTTAGTTAGTTAGATGACGTAATATAATTGACGAAAAATGTTTTAACTTAGGTCAGGGTAACAACAGAGGTAATTACAATTACAGGCTAAAAAGAAGTGAGGTAGAGAATAATGCCATTTAAATTAGAACTGAAATTGAGCAATTAAATTGGATAACGTAACATAAATAACTAGAAATTGAGCGTTGGTCAGGTCAATTAAAGTGGTAGTGAGGCGTAGAAATTAAATCAGGTGGGGTAAAGAACAAGAAAGTTGAAAATGCAAAATATTAAAATTAAGAAGACAGAATAATAACAATGAAGAGACAGAAAAAAAAGGAAAAATAATTAGGCAGAATTTACTTGTCGGGTAATGAGGTAGATTACATCCATTGTAAGTGTAGTGATTAAATGAACTTCTTCTGTATGCAGAGTTCAGGCCTTAGCAGGTAAATCGCTATTGCTTCTGCAGTTTGAAGAAGTCTGACTCGTACACCTTTGGGAAGACTACTTCTCACTCTGTAGATGACTTTGAAGTTTCTTTGGAGTGTAGCTTGGTGTCCGGATTCTATCAGATGTTCTGAGATGAAGCTGCGGGGACGTCGTTTTTCTCCTTTGTGAAACCATGTTGGTAAGTGTTCGGTGATACGTTTGGAAAGCGAACGCTGGGTACGGCCAACATACCTGGCTCCACACGAGCAGGTGAACTGATAAATACACGTTGATGAGGCCTGTAGTGGTAGGTTATCATTCACGTTCACATTAATCATAGGTTTTTTGGAGAAAGTTAGTCATAGTTCACCTGCGAAGAAGGTTTTCATGTAGAGTAGTGTTTTTTTCGAGACGCTAAGCATGGGCGGCTTTTGTGGTCTAGGATTCATAGATTTCACAATAAATCATTCTGGATAACAATTCTCGACGAGGATTCTCTTGAGATTGTCTAGTTCATCTTCTACGGTGTCCGGGGTAAAACTTCTGCGAACTCTGTAGCTGAGTGAACGGATCAGGTTTCGTTTGGTGTATAGGGGGACCCAACTGTGGAAGTTAGTAAGCTATGCGTTCCACGTCGACTTCCTGTATATTGATATTTTCAGTGTTCCATCCTGTTTTCGTGTTGTTAGTTGAATGTCAAGAAAGGATATTTTGGAGTTAGAGCGTGAACTGAATCGCGGGGTGGCAGTTGTTAAACGTTTCCAGGATATCGTCTAGATTTTCTTCATTGTTGAACGGTAATGAAAGTGTCGTCGACGTGTCTCTTATAGATTTCAAAGGTATCGATCATTTTCTTCAGGCATGTGTTTTCGAGTTTTGCCATGAAGAAATTGGCAAGCAATGGGCCTAGTGGTGAGCCCAGAGCTAAACCATCATTTTGGCGATATATTCCGTTGTTGAAAGAGAATTGAACATTCATGGTACACCTCATTAAGAGTTCTTTAAGACGCTCGTTGGGTATACCGATGTTTATTCCTTTGGAGTTAATAAGTTAGCCTATATAGCATATTGTCATTCAGTTCAATCCATAATATCCAACGGCTTCTATATAATTTGAGCCAAGAAGTGCACCTCCTAATGGTATCCTAAAAGATACACACTTCATATGAAATATTTGTTAGGAAACGTAGATATAGCGACTTTAACTGAGATCCAGCCTTCTGTTGTATATGTATATACTCCATTGACTGATATAACTGCCTAATTTTGTGTATAAAAGTTCATATGGTTCTTTGAAAGGTGTTCATGAAAAATAACAAAAAAGAATTCTTGAGGCCATTCATTCTCACAATAGAATGTATCTGCTTTTGTAGATTTCCAATAAAGTAAATAGTAAAGGTATTTTAAGAATGTAATCAAAAACACAGGAAATGATATATTATGTCTGTCTGAATGAATAAGAACATTTTACAATCTACAAGATTCTATTGTCTCATGACAAGCTAATGTAAAGCATGATATAGAGTGACGTTGTAAGATTACGAAAGAAGTTGAAATATTTAGAAGTGGACGAATGTTGTCGGGGTAGACAGAAATAAAAACATTTTCAAATAGAAGTTTAGAGAATAAAATTCGTTTAGTAAAAACAGTCATTTAGAAAACTGGTTGAGTGAAGAAGGAGAAAGTTATATATTGGAATATTACGTTAGTGTAACCCGGAAGTCAACTGCAATTCAAAAATAGTGGCGCCTAAATTTTTTACTGTTAAGTATCTCTAATGTCTCTATTGTCTTCTCAATGAAATCAAAATACTCAAAATGTTGGTTTGTAGGGATTTGATTGATTAACATTAATTAGAGAACCATTATAAAATCTGGAGGTACTGGACAGCTGTTTCGTTCGAGTTTGGGAATGTTCAGCAGTAGGCAGCCACCGCCAGGGTCCAAACCCAGGACCCAAAGGTTACAAGGCGAGCTCAAATACAAATACTCGCCGAACACATTGGCTAGCAGTCACGCTGTGTCGTGAATTAGCAGAAGTTAGAATTCATGGGCAATTGAATCGGGTTCCAGTGGCTTAATGGTATACGAGCGCACCTTGTCACTAGAAGGTCCTGGGTTCGAATCCCGGTGGGTGCTTACTGATGAAGAGTCCAGTACTCTCAGGTTTTTCAATGGTTCTCTAACTAATGTAAGCTCATGATGTAATCAGAATATTTTAACCGAAATTAGACAACTATCGTTCATTTTTAGTGACCAGTTTCAGCTGGCTGGCGTCACATATTAGTTTCAATCCGACTAGAAAAATTATATCGGTTAGCGTCTACGATATTCATCTAATCTTATTCCTGAGTTTTTCTATTCCTTTACGTTCCAAGTGGAATATAGGGCTTGAAGCCTCTTGGCCTGAAGTTTCTGTAGCAGTGTTTATTTTCACAGGATGGGGTTGCTAGCCACATGTCCAAATTTTCCTCTTTACTGTCTTTTTATTTCTGGCTTAACGAGGTAAAGGAGTGCGACAGTCGAAGATTGAACCTCGGGCCATGTGCATGGTCGGCGAGCGTCTTAACCGCTGTGCCACCGACGCACCTTATTACTGAGTAGTATCTGAAATTCCTTTCTATAATCCATTGAGCGTTATCTAAGCTACCGACAACCATGTTTATCGGAAAATTTCTGAACGAAAGGTGCGGTCCATTCAGTCATGTGCGAGGATGGATGTCCTACCAACGACATCGGTTGGGGTCCTGCTAAATCACCAATTGCTAGAAGTTAGAATTCGTGAGCCATTGAATCGG